ATCTTTGTAAGCTTCCTAGAAATGAATAGCGTGTTTTTCCATTATCTAATGTCCTTGTTTTTGTCTTGCGCAGTTAATTAGAAAATGAATATCTCGAGGGTCTTATAGAAGTGGGATAGAGAATGTGTTGAAGGTCTCAAGTTTGAGAAACGGGATGTAGCTGCAAGGAGTAACCAATGAGAGTTATTTGAAGTCTTTGCTTTCTTTAAAAAAATAGCATCAGCTTAATGATCAAGAGCAGCATTTGATTAAAGTAGATGCATGTAAGAATATAGCAGATGAAAATTATAACATGATTGAAACAACAACTTGGATTTATATAGCGCCCTCCACGCTAGACGGCGTCTCAGAGCGCTTTACAGTTTCGGATCCCGGGGCCAAGCCAGGGGGACGGATGGGAAGGTGACCAAAGGCGCGGTCAAAAAGAAAGGTCTTCAGCAGAGACCTGAAAATGGGGAGGGAGGGAACGAGATGAAGGGAGTGAGGAAGGCAGCTCCAGAGCCTCGGGGCATAGTGGCTGAAGGCACGGCCGCCGAGGGTGGAGCGGAGGAATCAGGGGACAAGGAGGAGGCCAGACCCAGAGGAACGAAGGCAACGAGTACTGTGCTCAGGAGAGAGGTCAGAGAGGCAGGGGGCTGCAGAGGAGTGTACGTACTTGAATACAGGGGTGAGGATCTTGAAATCGATCCTCTCTGGGATAAGGATCCAGTGCAGTCTGGCAAGGACTGGGGTGATCAGGGAGCGGAGTTTCATGCGGGTGAGAATGCAGGCGGCAGAGTTCTGAATGAGTTGGATTTTATGGATGGTAATGCATGGGAGACCGGCGAGGAGGGCGTTTGAATAGTCCAGCCGGGAGGTGACAGAGGCATAGACCAGAGATTCAGCAGCTTTTGGGGAGAGATATTGGCGGAGATGAGCGATGCGTCGGAGGTTGAAGAAACTGGTGCTGGTGAGGGACCAGATGTGGGGGAGGAAGGATAATTGGGGCTCGAACCTAATGCCTAGGTTGCGTACGGGGGTTCGGGGAGTTTTAGGGGGAGGTCGGGTAGTTGGAGGAGGTGAGAACCGTGAGATTTTAGACATTGACGCGAACCGCAGAGTATGGCTTCCGTCTTGTCAATGTTCAGCTGAAGGAAGTTTGCACTCATCCAGCCCCTGAGATCTGACAGGCAGGCTGACAGAACATCAGGGGACTGGGGGTCCCAAAGAGAAGTTGAAAAGTAGAGTTGGGTGTCATCTGCATACATGTGGAAATGTACGCCATGTCTGTGGATGACATCCCCAAGAGGAAGCATGTAGATCAGCAAGTGGAGGGGGCCAAGGATGGATCCTTGGGGTACCCCGCAGGTGACCGGGTGAGAGCGGGAGGAGAAGCCGTTTATACAGATGTACTGCTGGCAGTTTGTGAGGTAGGACTCGAACCAGGCGAGTGCGGTCCCACCGAGGTGGATGACGGAGGAAAGGCAGTGGAGGAGGATGGTGTGATCGACTGTGTCGAACGCAGCGGAGCAGTCCAGGACAAAGAGTCAGGGGGAGTTCTGGTCACAGATAGAGAGATGTCGTTTGTGACTTTCACAAGCGCAGTCTCTGTACTGTGGGTGGGAAGGAAACCGGACTGGAGGGGTTTGAAGAGGGAGTGGGAGGAGAGGTATGCGCAAAATTGGTTTGCAACAACGTGTTCTAGAACTTTTGAGAGGAAGGGCAGATTAGAAATAGGGCGGTAATGGCTGGGGCTTGAGAGATCTAGGGAGGGTTTTTTCAGGTGGGGGGTGATAACAGCAGTTTTGAGGGAGGCAGGGACTGATCAGGAGGAGAGGGACTGATTGATAATGTCAGTCAGTAGTGGGCAGAGAAGGGGGAACTGTGTGACCAGTAAGTTGGTGGGGAAGGGGTCGAGGCAGCAGGTGGTGGGTTTCATGGAGGTGATGGTGGGTGAGAGGGAGGAGGGAGAGATGGGGAGGAAAGAGTGTAGAAAGGGGGTGGTGGTAGGAGCAGATGATGAGGAGGGTGAGGGGGACAGAGAGGACGTGGTGGTGGGTGACAAGGGGCAGGTGGATGAGGCTGCCTGACTGATGTTCAGTATTTTAGTTGAAAAGAAGTCCATGACCTCCTCGCACTTGGCATTTGATATGAAGATTGAGGAGGCCTGAGGGGGGGCATGGAGGAGGTAATGGGTGGTGGAAAAAAGGATTTTGGGGTTTAGCCACCAAGATGATGATGGAGTAGGCCATTTTTGCGCGTGTCAAAGAACAGCGGTAGCTGTGGAGATGCTCGAGCCATAGTTGGCGGTGAACTATCAGGCCAGTTTTCCGCCATCTGCACTCGAGCAGACGGGTTAGGGTTTTTTGGCGGCGGAGATGGTTGTTGTACCAGGGGGATCAGGTGGGTTTGGAGTGGTCCTGGATTTTAGGGGGACGAGGGAGTTGAAAGTGGAGGAGAGGCGATCATGGAGCAGCTGGACGGCTGCTTCAGGGTCTCCGTGGGTGGAAGGCCAGACGGATAGGATGTTTGAAGATGAGAGGGCATTTGTGAGGGTCTCAGGGTAGCCTTTTCCAAGGGCGATAGAGGATGGTTGAGGGCTTGGTGGAGGAGGATGTGAGAGGAGATGAAAAAGTAGTCCGGATGGCCTTGTCCACTACACGGAGGTCGAAAATGTCAAGGACATGGGTGATGATGAGGTCAAGTGCATGACCACGGTTGTGGGTAGGTGAGTTTATATGGAGGGTAAAGTTTAGGGAGAGGAGGGCAGTGAAATCAGCGGAAGTGGTGCAGGGGGAGTTTAGGTGGAAGTTGAAATCACCCATTATGAATAGGCGCTCGGAGCAGAGGAACAGGGAAGAGAGATGTCTGTGTGGAAGGAGACGGGGGGCGGTAAACAAGGAGGATTTTCAAAGGGAGAGAGGGGTGGAAAAGGGTGAGGTGCTCGCAGGAGGGGAAGCAGCCAGGAGTAGGGGGTGAGACCAAGGGAGGCTGTGGAAATGAAGGCCACCCCGCCGCCCCGTTGGTTTGGACGGGGGGGTGTGGTGGAAGATGTAGCCTGGAGGGGAGGCTTCCACTATGGGGACAGGGTCATTGGGGGGAGAGCCAGGTTTCGGTGAGCCCAAGAATATCAAGGTGCTCGTCCTGGATGAGGTCATGGATGGTGAAGGCTTTATTTGAGAGGGAAAGATGATAGATTCATGAAAGACGGTTGACCACAGGGTCAAAACACATGTTTGGCCAGGTGTGTAAGTGTTGGTCATTAACTAGCCTAACAGCTTTCCCGGGAAGATAAATACAAAGAAATATGAAGAATCACAAGAAATACAAGTCACGGTATTCTCCAGACCATTGAAGTACCTTTCTGTCATTCACATTGATGTTTCAAGGTTTCTTAAACCAAAACTTCTTGTGAGCTTGATTATTTCAGCGTCCAAAAACAAAGACTTACAAATAAACAATGTAATCTAAATTAAACAAATATATACAATTAAAATATACTGTAGTGACGATTTAAGTTAATGGGTGGTAAAACCAGGATACTCACTTGACACATTCAAGTTACAGCTTGATTCTGTACCAGGAATATGGTATGGTGTTTTGGAAGGACGAGATCAAAATGGATTGATGGAACCCTCATCAGAACTGCTCTTCTAAAGTACAGTATGTCTAACAACTTGCATTTATGTAACACCCTTCACACCAGATAGCATCTTGGAGCTCTTAGCAATGGTGAAGCCCGATGCCAAGACAGGGGGAAGGGGAAGGTCATTGTAGGCACAGTCAAAGAGGAAGGTCTTCAAGCTCAACCTGAAAATGGGAGAGGGGGCAAGGCGAAGGGATTGAGGGAGAGTTCTACAGCTTCAGAGCATAGTGGCTTGAATCACGTCCCACTGATGCTGGGGCGGAGGGTCCAGGAGACAAGGAGGAGATCAGAGCCAGTCGAGCAGAGGCAGCAGATGGTGTAGGGAGAGAGCAGATTGGAGAGATATTCAGTGCGAGGGTGTCATGTTACCCGTTTGTTTTCTTGCAATTAATTTTTAATTTCTGTTGCAGATGAGTCAAGTGTATTATCTGCCATGAAAATGATGGCGCTCACATCAATCCACTGGATGTCTAAATAGTTAAACACCAGTACTGAATACAAGTAACTACTTCTAAGTACAATTATCATCATTCTTCCACTTGTTTCAATTGTTTTTCAGTGCACTGTAGAACAAAAAAACATGGGGGTGCAGATCTTTGTGAACACCCTGCACAATTCCATGGAGTTTATAGAGTGAAATAGGAAAATTACATCCCAATGAATCAATTTCAGTTTTCTGTTGTTACTAAGAGTTTGAGCAGCTTTGTTGGCACTCAGGTCTAAAAGCAGATGAGATGCTGTAGGTGGAGAGCTAAAATCTTAAACAGCTGCAACACAGAAGTAGAGTGTTCTGTCAAATATATAGGATTCTATTTTCTGTAGAGCTACATAGACCCAGGAAACACAATCTAATTGAACATTTGCAGCAGCTGTGAATAGCTTGCATTAGTTTTTGGAAGGATTTACAGAATTCCATGGAAGGTACTTAAGGGACATAAACGAGGACTCATCTGATGTCTAAAGTAATTTCATACTCAGAAAAGTCCCTCTAGAATGAAACTACAATATAATAATAATAATAATCCTTGCATTTGATATAGCGCTTTTCACGTCGGGAGGACGTCCCAAAGCGCTTCACAGAACACACTGTAAAGTGAATTGACTGTACATTTGTGGGCGAACGCGGCAGCCAATTGCGCACAGCAATGCCCCACAAACAGTCGGAGATTGAAAATGACCAATTTAATTATTGTTTTTGGTTTTTTGGAGGGATTATTATTAGGCGTGTGGAGTAAGGAAACTTGCCCAAGGTTTCGCCCTGCCTGGAATTGAACTCAGGTCTCTCACTTGCAAAGCGAGTGCTCTAACCACTGAGCTACAGGACTCCACGACATTTCACTGAATGGCCCTATAACACCAAACATAGATAGATTGCTTGAAGAAAAACAGTCCACACCTTTAATTTAATAGGATTTTTTAAAGAAACTTAATCATATTTTGTTTGACTTGTTCATTAATTGCCTCACTCAGATTTTTTCTTCATAAACATAATTACAATACTTTGTTAACAAGTATACAATTCAAACATGTTTAATCATTAGACTGTTGCATTGGACTTTACTTTGTAGATTCAAAAGGATCTTCCTCAAGTTAATGATTAAAACAAAAACAAACATTACATTGCTATTGATCTAATGTTTACTTATCTTAAGTTTCAAAATCTGCAACAATAAAAAAAACAATTCTACAGAGAAATATGAAGCACAACATGTATTTTGAAATAAGATGAGAAAATAAGCATGGAGGTGCACTTTAGGAATATGTCCCACATTGTTCTTTAAAACATCACCTAAAGGTCACATATATACTTTTGGTAAGTCATCTTCTGTTTTGCCTTGAACTTGTAGAATTCTTGAAGGGGTCATCTTCACCCTGAAATGAACAAACACAGCAATATTCACACAAGATGCTCAACCTTAATTCAACCTTTAAGTGTCAGTCTGGATCAGTCAGTTGTACTCACGCCAGAGTCAGAAAGTTGTGGTTCAAGTGCCACATCAAGACTTTGAACTCACTGTCTAGGCTGACAGTGTGCTGGACTGCTTGAGGTTTCCTTTGAACAAGGCATGAAATCGAGGTCCCGTCTGCCTGTTAAGGTGTATGTTAAAGAACCCATGACAAGAGTCCTGTAGCTCAGAGCACTCGCCTCACAAGCGAGAGTCCTGGGTTTGATTCCTGTCAGGGCAAAATATTGGTTTCCTTACTCCCCACGTTTTTGTTTATCTAGTAGTAAGTAGGAACCCGTTTGTCAGTCGATTGACGGATCACTTTTCTGAGTGTAATAATTCCTTCAGAAAAATAATAATAATAATAACAAATAATAATAATAATAATAACAGGTGGAGTCCTGTAGCTCAGTGGTTAGAGCACTCGCGTGGAGTCCTGTAGCTCAGTGGTTAGAGCACTCGCGTGGAGTCCTGTAGCTCAGTGGTAAGAGCACTCGCTTTGCAAGCGAGAGACCTGAGTTCAATTCCAGGCAGGGCGAAACCTTGGGCAAGTTTCCTTACTCCACATGCCTAATAATAATCCCTCCAAAAAAACAAAAAAACAATAATAAAATTGGCCATTTTCAATCTACGACTGTTTGTGGGACATTGCTGTGCGCAATTGGCTGCCGCGTTCGCCCACAAATATACAGTCAATTCACTTTACAGTGTGTTCTGTGAAGCGCTTTGGGACGTCCTCCCGACGTGAAAAGCGCTATATCAAATGCAAGGATTATTATTATTATTAATAATAATTTGGTAAATCCACAACTGTTTGTGGGACACTGCTGTGCGCTATTGGCTGCTGTGTTTTGCCCACAAAATTTAGTCAATTCACTTTATAGTATATTCTGTGAAGTGCTTTGAGATGTCTCGAAGACATGATAAGGCACTATATCAAATGCAAAGATTATTATTTTGTTATGGCAATGTTCAAAAAGTGAAAGGAATTCCACCTGGTGTCCTAACCAACAATCCCCCAATTAAAATTGGTCATTTGTTTCATAAAATTGGTTACTTCAAGGCTGTTTGTGGGACATAGTTGTATGCAAATCGGTTGCTGATTTCACCTACAAATACACAGTCACTGCACTTCACAGTAAAATCCTGTGAAACACTTTCAGATGTCTCTAACATGATAAGGTGCTAAATCAAATGCAAGTAATATTATTATTATATATGCACTTTTTTCATGAAGTCAATGTATTCCTATAACCAACTGCACTTCCAAATAGATATATATCCAGATTCCTCTGAATGAGTGAGTCAGTTGTGTACCTCCTTTGCTGGGAACCTATTCCAGGAGAGTGGCTAACAGGAAGAAAACAGAGAGTAGAGATAAACGGGTCCTTCTCAGATTGGCAGGATGTGACTAGTGGAGTGCAACAAGGATCAATGCTTGAACCTCAATTATTTACAGTCTATATCAATGATTTAGATGAGGAAATAGAACTTAACATATCTAAATTTACAGATGATACAAAGATAGGTGGGAGAGTAATAATAATAAAATAATCCTAATAACAGTAAGCTGTGAGGATGATACACAAAGAATGCAAAGGGAAATAGACAGGCTAGGTGCGTGGGCAAGAAGGTGGCAGATGGAGTATAATGTGGGGAAGTGTGAAGTTATTCACCCAGGTAGTGAAAATAGAAAAGCAGATTATTTTCTAGAGGGGGAGAGACTAGGTAGTGTTAGTGTTTAGAGGGATTTTGGGTGTTCTTATACACTAGTCACAAAAAGTTAATATGCAGGTACAGCAAGCAACTAGGAAGGCTAATGCCATTTTGGCATTCATTGCAAAAGGGTTAGAGTACTCTTAGGGTTAGAGTAGGGAACTCTTACTGCAGTTGTATAATGCCTTGGTGAGACTGCACCTAGAATATTGTGTGCAGTTTTGGTCTCCTTATTTAAGAAAGGACATACGCACCTTAGAGGGGGTGCAGGGTAGATTCACTAGGTTGGTTCCTGGGATGAGGGGGTTGACCTATGAGGATAGGTTGAGTAAACTATAGAATACAGAAGACTTACAGGTGATCTTATAGAAACCTATAAGATTCTTAAGGGTCTTGACAATGTAGATGCCGTGAGACTGTTTCCCCTGGTTGGAGAATCGAAAAGTAGGGGTCACAGTCTCAAGATTAAGGGTCAGCCTTTTCGACTGAGTTGAGGAAACATTTCTTCACTCAGAGGGTTAGCGAATTTATGGAATTCTCTACCCCAGACGGCTATGAATGCTCAGTTCTTGAACATATTCAAGACTGAGGCTGATAGATTTCTAAAGGATAGAAGGATTAAGGGATATGGGGATAGAGCGGAAAAATGGAAATAGGTTAGATCAGCCATGATCTTATTAAATGGCAGGTAAGGCTCGAGGGGCCTACTCCTGCATCTTATGGTCTTATATATTAATCTCCCAGAAAAATTGATTTCTTATAACTTCTAATTTGAGTTTGTTGCCATGAAGCAGGAACGACATGCTTTATTAGACCCTCAGTGAAGAGCTGCTGGAATAATAATTAAGAATAATGGAGAAATTGAAAACAATAATAAGATTTAGAAGTATAAACCAATTGGATGCTTCAAAATGCATTGTCCTTGAATTAAAATGTGACAAGGTTTTTATTATTAGCCTTAATTTTGCTCTAGTGCAGCATATTCCAGTATTTTGTTCAGCTTGACCTAGTCGGTAAATATTAAATGTGCAATTTACAAATGTAGAATGAAATAATAATCCTTGCATTTGGTATAGCGCTTTTCACGTCGGGAGGACGTCTCAAAGTACTTCACAGAACACACTGTAAAGTGAATTGACTGTATATTTGTGGGCGAACACGGCAGCCAATTGCACACAGCAATGTCCCACAAACAGTCGTAGATTGAAAATGACCAATTTATTATTGTTTTTAGTTTTGGAAGGATTATTATTAGGCGTGTGGAGTAAGGAAACTTGCCCAAGGTTTCGCCCTGCCTGGAATTGAACTCAGGTCTCTCGCTTGCAAAGCGAGTGCTCTAACCACTGAGCTACAGGACTCCACATGTAGAATGAAATTTAGACTTAACATACTGTGTTTATTTTTCCATTAAAAACAATGCTAAGATACATTAAAAAAAGTGCTTAGTTCAAAAAACCCTTTTAAAAAAAAGCTCAAAATTCAAAGCCCTTTTGGACTAAATCCCCTACTTTCACACATTTATATCAAAGCCATTGGAAATTCCGTGCACTCGAATTTTAACCAAAAAATCTTTCGTGAAACCTTATCAAGAAAAAGTTTTCTGAAAACTTGCGTAACCAATATAGTTAGATCCCTCTCTAGAACCTCTGTGAACAAGAGAATAAAAGTACTCTCACTGATCTTCAAATTCTCTTTCAGCTGTAGAAGTGGACTATTAGGCTTTCTCTGTGCAGTCATGGCTAGTTTTGCTCTTGGCCCTCTTCTGACAGTGTGTGAAGTTACTGGTGATGCACATTTTCCCTCCCCTGTCAGTCTAGATAAAAACTGATGAAATTCATGGATTTTCTGGTGGATTCAGTGACTCCAACACAAAGACTGATCTGGACATATGTTTCTCTGATAGCTTAATTCATAAAACCAGAATCTTATGTGGAAGTGAGCCATGTGGACCTAGCTTTTCCAGGTTCAATCGCATTAATTAAACTGGCTAATCTCAGCCACAGCACCAGTTGGACCACGAGAACGGCATTTATACCAATACACTAAGCAGTATGTTTGGGGGGCACAAAATCAGCCTGTGTTCCAGATCTATACGAGTAAAAAAATAAATATTTGTTTTCTTGAAAAGATTAAATGAATATCCTTTTTTTGTTAAGGCTTTACTGTGACACTCTGATTCCTTGTATGCTGTATGTGTAGCAATTCTTATAGTTAATTATTATTAATAATTAACACAGCAGACAATTTCCACACAACAATGTCCCAACATTATGTACAAACGCAACCGTGAAAGCTCACACACAGAGCACAGCCACTTGGGCGAGATAGAGAATGTGTTCAGTGCTTAAGGTAACTTACACCAGCATGAGTCAGCACCTTCAAGAGAGGTAAGACTTAAAAAATATAGAAGTAAAACTGGAATTACCTCTTCGTCGTCGTCATAAAAAGTTACTCCTTTAGCTGCCAGGCTTTGTGAACCTCTTTTACTGAACGATTCTGACATGCTTGAGCCCCTTTTGAAATGAAGAACATTACAATTCAACAAAGCCTGATAGCGCCCTCCACGCCGGACGGCGTCTCAGAGCGCTTCACAGTAACGAATCCTGGGGCCAAGCCAGGGGGAGGGGGAGGAAGGTGACCAAAGGCGCGGCCGAAAAGAAAGGTCTTCAGCAGAGACCTGAAAGTAGGAGGAGCGAGGCGAAGGGAGTGAGGAAGGCAGTTCCAGAGCCTCAGGGCATAGTGGCTGAAGGCACGTCCGCCGAGGGTGGAGTGGAGGACTCGGGGGACAAGGAGGCCAGAATCGGAGGAATGAAGGTAACGGGCACTGTTTTGAGGAGAGAGGAGGTCAGAGAGGTAGGGAGGTGCGGAGGGATTTGAAGACAAAGGTGAGGAACTTGAAATCGATCCTCTCTGGGACAGGGAGCAAGTGCAGTATGGCGAGGACTGGGGTAATCGGGGAGTGGAGTTTGGTGCGGGTGAGAATGCGGGCGGCAGTTTTGAATAATCTGGATTTTATGGATGGTAGTGGAGAGGAGGCCAGCGAGGAGAGAGTCTGAATAGTCCAGCCGAGAGGTGACAAAGGCATGGACCAGGGTTTCAGCGGCTTTTGGAGTGAGGTATTGGAGGAGACGGGTGATGCGTCGGAGGTGGAAGAAAGCGGTGCTGGTGAGGGACCGGATGTGGGGTAGGAAGGATAATTGGGGGTTGAACATGACCCCTAAGTTGCGTACGGGTTCGGAGAGTTTTAGGGGGAGGTCGGGTAGGTGGAGGAGGTGAGAACCGTGAGATTTTAGACGTTGACGAGAGCCAAAGAGTATAGCTTCCGTCTTGTCAATGTTCAGCTGAAGGAAATTTGCTCTCAGCCAGCCCCTGAGGTCTGACAGGCAGGCTGACAGAATATCAGGGGACTGGGGGTCGCAAAGAGGTGGAAAAATAGAGTTGGGTGTCGTCCGCATTCATGTGGAAATGTACCCCATGTCTACGGATGACATCCCCAAGAGGGAGCATGTAGATCAGAAAGAGGGACCAAGGATGGATCCTTGGGGGACTCCACAGGTAACTGGGTGAGAGTGGAAGAAGAAGCCATTTGTGCATGTAATTGTAGTACTGTGGCAAGATAATTTAATTTGCCAAATGTTTCTTTTTTGTAAAGTGCCAAGACAAAGATCATGGACAGAACAGTAGTTCAGTGCTCTACAGCTCTTAATAGACTAGAAGTGACACTCGGGTGTGTTTTTTCCGCTGGCTCAGCCATTTAAACCCCTAGACAGCTGATCAGGGCAACAGAGTGGTCATTGTTTTAAATAATTTCATCCCCCAATTCCATTCAGAATTTGCGTGTTCCATTCCCATTGGTTTAAGTGGAGAAGCTTGGATGAACTACAACACAAAGGCACACAAAGTGTCCTTGTGCTGAATCAGGCAAGATCTGCCTTTGTACTGGAACTGACTGGTACAAACTCTTCAACACTGGCACAAGCCAATACTGATGCCTTAGTTCTGGGCACAGGCCATTATCATGTAATGCTAGAGAAAGACAACTGTAGAAATTTGCTGAAAATAACCAAACACATCCTTAATCTGTCGTAGAGGTAGTCATATTTATTTTATCTTCTCATCTCCTTTGATCTTTTTAAAGATTACAAAAAGTGAAACAATTAAGTGTGGAAGGCTGCTGACTGGAGAATTATAGGCAGAGTGTGATTGTCATGTTCACCATGGACATAAGGCTCACAATCTGTCATCTCTGCCAATAAAAAGTCTAAAAATATTCATCCACTAAAAATTTATTTCTTGCACAGCTGTTAACTAAACTAATTGAAGACAAATGTCTCCTCTTAAACCTCAGCAGCAGATTAATGTTTCACTTAGAAGCAATTCACTCCAGTAGATATCTGCCACCCCTGGCAAGAGCAGAGGGTTGTGGCATAGAAAACATTAATTCAGTTGTGATTATTAAAGATAAAATTGGAATTTTTTTCTAATCAATCAGCTAACAAATTAACCATTTAGATCTTATACTTAAAAGACATTGGTCACATATCCCATTTCCGGTTTATTTTTCACTCCACAGTATCCACTTTAACATAAAAAGTTCAAGTTAAACCTCTCGCCATGCAGAGGATATAAGAATTCAGTTCTACATTAATTCATTTGCACTTGATGTTATTCTTGAGCCTAGTCCAGTTGTAGTACTGTAGTTATTAGGGAGGGGATGGCAGATGGTTGAATTTTTTGATTCACCAAATGAAAGGAAGTCACTGCTGGAGAACGACAGGCTGACAATATTTAGCACAGAGCTTTCCGGCACCAAGTACTTACAGATAAGGTGTAGCATGGATTAGTTACGGAGTAATGCTTTTTCTTCTCTACCCCAACAGAGTGCTCTAATACAACATCAAGAGGTTTTTTTTAACCTTTCCCCTCCACTTCCCACATTTCACAGTTGTTGTGGTTTCTGGGTGAGATGCTTTATTGTTGCTGAATTATGAGTGGATTTGTGCTGAGGTGACAAATCCACTAAAAACTGATCAAGTATCCCCAAACTCAATTCACTTAAGACATTTACACCTTAGAGAAAGATGTTAATTTCTCCACTCAGTCTGGATTTCATTCAAAACTAGAAACCAAAAGTGAAAAGGGATCATCCTAATTCACTGTGTGCCATTCAAGCCCTCTATTTACTGATCAGAACAACTGTGGAACTCTATTGGAACACAGTGGACACTTGAAACAACCCAGTGCCTACTTGCCAAAATGGTCAACTTCTGGGTGATTGGGTCACTTCCTCTTACTGTGCATGTACAACAACAACATGTACTTATATTGCACCTTCCATGCAGGATAGCGTCTGAGAGCGCTAAACAGTGGTGGAGCCTGGCTCCGAATTGTGGGGGGGGGGGGGGGGAGAGAAAGAGGTGACCATAAGCATAGTCGAAACGAAAGGTTTTCAGACGGGACTTGAAAAGGGGGAGAGAGGGATCGGAGGGATTGAAGGGGAGCATTCCACAGTTTTGGGGTGTAGTGGCTGAATGCACAACCTCCAATGGTGGAGTGGAGGGCACGAGGGATAAGCAGGTGACTGGTGCCAGTCAGGCGGAGATGCAGGGTGGTGAACTGGGGAGTGAGGAGGTCGGAGAGGTAGGGAGGTGCCAGAGAGTGAAGGTCTTTGAAAACGAGTGTGAGAAGTCGATCCGTTCGGTGATGGGGAGCCAGTGGAGTCTGGCCAGAACTGGTGAGATGGGGGTACAGAGTTTGGACTGGGTCAGTATGCGGGCGGCAGAGTTCTGAACGAGCTGGATTTTTTGAATAGTGGAGCTGCGGAGACCGGTGAGGAGCGTGTTTGAGTAATCCAGGTGTCAAATGCATGCACAAGAATATCGGCTGCATTTGCGGTAAAGTACGGTCAGAGGTGAGCAATGTGGCAGAGGAAGGCGTCCTGGTCAGGGATTGGATGTGGAGAAGGAAGGACAGCTGGGGGTCAATCTGGACGCCTGGATTGTGCACTGGCTGGGTTAGTCTGAGGGAGAGCCCAGGTAGGTTTAGGAGTTTAGATTTGCAGGAGTGAAAACGTTGACAGGAGCCAAGGAGTATGGCTTCTGTCTTGTCTACATTCAGCTGCAGGAAGTTTGCACTCATCCAGCCCTGATGTCTGCTGGACAAGCTGATAAAACATCGTTGGACATGGAGTTAATACCGGAGGAGGCAAAGTAGATTTGTGTGTCATCCACATGCATATGGAAGTTTACCCAGTGTCTGCGGATGACATTGCCATATATACATTGAGCATGTATATGAGGAAAAGAAGAGGGCTAAGGATAGAGACCTGTGGTACCCCGCAGATGACCCGGTGGGGGCGGGTTGAGAAACTATTTGCTGAGATGAAGTGTAGGCGGTTGATAAAGTAGCACTCGAACCATGTGAGTGCGGTCCCACTAAGGTGAATGAGGGAGGAAAAGCATTGGAGGAGGATGGTATGGTTGACTGTGTCGAACATGGCACAGAGATCCAGGAGGACGAGGAGGTAGAGGACGTCGTTTGTGACTTTAACAAGCGCCGTCTCTGTGCTGTGGGCAGGGCAAAAACTAGACTGAGGGGCTCAAGGAGGGAGTGGAGGGAGAGGTGTGACCGAAGTTGACCTGCAACAATGCGATCCAGGATTTCGGCAAGGAATTTTAGCAAGGAAGGGCAGGTTGGAGTGGAACAGAGCTTGCGGAGAGAGACTGGTTGACCGTGTCAGCCAGCAGGGAGGAGAGGAAGGGGAGTTGAGTGACCAGCAGCTGGGTGGTGAGGGGGTTGAGGCAGCAGGTGGTGAACTTCATGCAGGTGATTGTGGTTGAGTGGGAGGAGGGAGAAATTGGGGGCAAAGGAGTGTAAAGAAGGGGTCGTGGCAGGAGCTGTGGTGGAGGGAGAAGGTGGTGTGGAGGACATGGGTGGGGGGTGGCGGTGGTGGAAGACGATGCAGCCAAGCGGATGTTTTCAATCTTTGAAAATTATACCATGTACAGTGTTCAGGATGCAACCTTGGAGGCAACCTGATTGATTAGAAATCAGTCATTTTGTTTTCCTGCACTCATCAATTATCTGAAGCATCGCTGGAGCAGTTTGGATATTTTTGATAAATGAATGTTGAGATCTATACCACTATAAGCAAATCCCAGCACTAAGGAAGTTATTAGGGTTCTACTGTAGTAACATTCTGTCCTGCCAATATTTTCTACAATTATGTAAAATGTACATACCTTTGCTTTGTCTTTGAAGCACTGGATGAACTAACATCCTCTAAATCAGAATCATCATCTGTACTTATAATCTATAAAATAAAAAAATTAATAGTAATGTTTGCCTCCCAAATCTTACTGCTGTCCAACCAAAAGAATTGGCGCACAGTCCAAAAATGTGATAGATAACAACAAGATTAATACGGTAAATCATTGAAATTCGTACCTCAGTGTAATTACTTTGATTCAATGTTCGTGTAGGACGTTGGTTGGAGGGTTTAAAGGCTGACAGAAAGAGAAAGAAGAACAGAGGGAGGTCACCAGTAACTTATTTGACAACCAGGCAAATGTTTTATTTTACTGCACCTGCACTGAAGATTTAAAACATTGCAACGCACAATAGATCTACTAACTAGTTATCTCTTTTTAAGGCAATGACTGCCTCAAGAAGAGCAGGGGAGTAACACCCGACAATGGAAGGTCAGAATCAAATCAATCCTCAGTGGCGGTCTCAATTGACCTGTTGCTAAGACACGCAGGCCTACAGTGCTCAGAGATACTGTTGGTGATAAATCAGCCAACCATGCTTGGTACCAGGAGTTGAAGGAGCAGACTGGTCACTGAGGACAGGGATTCTTTCCATTCAGCCCATTCAACATGCGAAGCCCTGTTAGGAGGTATCTGAACAAGGAGCATGAAGGTTATCAGTGCCCTATAATGGTAAATTGCATGGTTTTACCTAATTGAGCTCCAACTTACCAAAAAAAAGTGCTGAGTCATATTGAGATATGGTTGCACATGTGCCAGTCAATCACCCTTCATGTCAGTGAGCTATTTCACCATGGAAGACACAATACAGAACCTTACCTCACCTTCATCCAATGGCAACTGCGCATCTTCCAGTCAGAGTCTCAAGATGGTAATGGTAAGCAGCTTCTCTGTCCCTAGTCCAAGAACATTGAGGCTAATTTTACCACTCCTTCTGACACCCTAGCTGACATCAGCTAACTCAGCACAGACTTCCGGCGGCCGGTGGGTAAAGGTCCTGCCATACATATGGCAGCACTAAGCCATTCTGGACATAGTTGCAAAGTCAAATCTAAATCTGAGCTAATTGATCTCAGCTAGGGTGATCTCTGCTACTAGCATCAGGAAGGTCACAATCAGAAAAGACAGATCAGCATCAGCCATAACGACTTCCATGGGTGAAAAGGATGCTGACATTTTGTGCTTCATGCATAATAAAGGCTATTTGTTCAGCAATGTACAAAAAGTTGATCAGAGCTTCTGAACTTTAACAGGTTGTTGTTCACAAAACTGATTGCAGCACAAAGTCTTAACAAATGCAAGGATTATTATTATAAACAGCAATAGCGCGGTGGCTAATCAATCTGCTAGACTACAAGCCGGGAAGCTGCAGAAAAACTCCCTTTTCTCTCAGGTAATGTCATCAGATCTTGAACAGCCATTTGAATAGACAGGCTTTGGATAGAACATGTGTTTAACATCTCATTGAATAGCAACTAAACTAAATCTAATATCCAAGTAATAGCTCCCTGTACAAAAATAAGGTAGAGCTACGGCTACAGAAAAGAACAAAATAAGCACTATTTTGTGTACCAAAAGTTAATGTATTAATAAAGAGGACAAATAAAAGAACTTTACTCTGAAAAGTGAGTATCTGGATAGTGACAGCATTGGAAATACTTAAAATTGTCCTACCGTCAATTATTGACTTGTTCTTTGTGGTAGTAACTACTGGAGGCTTGTATGACCTGCTGCCACTTGGGACTCTTGTTTCCTTGCCAGTTTCTCTGCTATTGCCCCCTGGTGAACCAAATAGAATAAAATGCATTACACATTCTATTGAACTTTTGGAACAGTGCTTAATCAAATTCATGCTGCAATATCACTTATAGTACAATAATAGAAAAGTTTCTGCTATCTCACTCTGCTCTCCTAAAGATTGTCTTTCTCTCATAATGGCAGACACCATTTGTGTTTTCTTTTCTCTCATGACAGAACAAGTGCAAGTCTATCGCTCATGACTTTCTGTTTTCATATCATGAGAAATACTGAGATTCCTAGATACACTTTGACTTCTATAGTGATGACGACAACATCAATATTAAAAATTACATTTATACAGCATGTTTCAACGCCTATCTCAAGGACATCTCAAAGCCATCACCAAAATGACTGAGATCCCAAGCTGGAAGAAAGCCGGGCAGAGGAGGGGAGGGGAATGGGAGCCAAAATCATGAGAAAGATTTTAAGGTGGTAGCAGCTGCAATTGAACAAGACACTGAGGTTCCGCACCGGCTCCATGAGGCCAAGTGAGCATCTGTGAAGATCAATGCAATCAGAGCCTAAGGTTAAAAGGCACATGGGGAAGCCAAGAAAAGCCTCAGTCTTGTCGTCACTCAGATGTGGAAATTTGGAACTCATCCACGACAGTCTAACTATAACACTTTAGCCTACAAATTATCAAGGCAAAGCTTTCGCTAATGTTTTAAACAGCTCTCACTGCTTCCTCTTCTGGACCCTCCTCTTTCTGTGGAGGAGCTCTGGCCTCTGCTGCCCCTTCCACGACCTCTTGCATGCCCTTTATTGGTAAAAGCCATTGGGATTTCATCTGCATCTTCATCCTTTTCAGAAGTAATGGTCAGATCATCATCATCATCACTAATCCGTGTTGAGATCTCTTTTCCTTCAGTCCTATGGGCCCTGGCTCTCTTCATTGCCTTTTGTGTAAAGAAAAATAACTTGCCGTCAGAAAATAATACTCAGGTTACCTGAAATTTTCCATCCAGTTCAATGTGATGCACAGGCTTTGTTTGATATATTTCTGACAGTAATGTCCAAGATCAGAAAATTCATCAAATGAACTACAATAAGGCGCAGGCTTATACCACTTTCCAATGCAGTGTATTGGAGGAAGTGATTTACATAATTTAAATGCAATTTAATACCACTGATGTAGAATTCAGGGCAGATCTACTTTTCAAAGAATAAAGCATTGAAGCATTTAGATGAACAGAACCAACTGCTTGGCACCAAGTCATACAAGTACCAAAGTAAATATAGACTCCAGACGTTGCTCTCAATGAACAAACTCTTACCTCACGAACATCTGCATCTTCGTCTGCCTCATTTTTTTTCCGACTGTCACGGAAATGTCGAACCTACAAATGAAAGATAATACCTTCTGTGAGTAGACCTACAAGAATGTACAACCTGTACATTCACCTGTACAACAGCCAGATAATACAGTAATTATCTCATTAATGCAGAAAATAACTGCTGATTAAACTTAACTCAAAGTATTAATTCTACAACATTTGTTTTGCTTATTTTATCAAATTTGTGAACAGTTCAGGGCACATTTCCCCACTTCATATCAGATCCCAAAAAAAGTGAGTATTATCAACCTTTTAAACCAAATTCTTAGACAAACAGGTATAGTTGGGTCAAACAGGTATAGTTTAGTTATTTTTCAGACTTTAAATTGCTGAGTTGAATCCACTTTTGCTATAACGTGAAAAATGAAGATAAGTAGCAATCTTCTCTTCTCCAATGAATGCAAGTTCAATTTCATGAGTAATTTAAGGAAAAAATGAATAAAATAATATTCCTTGCATTTGATGTAGCACTTTTCAAGTTCAGGATGTCTTAAAGTACTTCACAGCATTTATTGTAAAATGTAATAACTGTATTTTATAAACAAACACAGAAGCCATTTTGCCTACAATATCCCAGAAATAGGCATGATAATTGAATAATAAATTTTATCTGGAGGATACGGATATGTTACAAGGATCTGTTACTCAGTAAATAAACCTTACCAAACACTTTTGATGCCCTTAAATAGTTATTTATCAACTTCATTAAAAGTACCACATTTAAAGCACAGTTAATCAAATAATAATGAGAATGAAACAATGCTAAAAGAAAAGCAACATTTTTAGTGTTGAATAGCTTGCCAATGTTCACTATTTCAACATGAACAACTGTTCTTGTCTAAGGACAAGTGGTACACTAGAACGACTTCTTTAAGAAAGAAAATTTCAATAAATAAATAAATTTCAGTAAAATAATTGAAACTAAACAAATGTTCTGGTTGGTCTAGTTTACAGGTGAGACAAATGATGAAGATATGGTTTAAAATTCATTTTAGCTTTACTGCCCCACCTGCAAGTTTCAAGAACACCAGGCTTCCATTTGCAGACATACTCAGGAATATATGATAAGCCTTGTATTTGATATAGCACTTTATCATGTCTTTGCAACGTCTCAAAGTGTTCACAGAATATACTGTAAAGTGAATTGTCTGTATTTTGTGGGCAAAACACGACAGCCAATTGCACACAGCAGTGTCCCACAAACATTTGTGGATTGAAGTGACTAATTTATTATTTTTTTAAGGAATTATTACTCCCGGGAAAGCGATCTACCAATCGACTAACAATCAGGTTCCTATTACTGCTAAGTAAACAAAGGTGTGTGGAGTAAAGAAACTTGCCCAACATTTCACCCTGCTTACCACTGAGTTACAGGTCTCCACATATGCATTGTTACAACATTTTATGTTAAGAGAAAGTACAGAGGAAGGATGATGCACACTTAACTAGGGAAATCAAGCCAGTCGCAGCAGTCAAATAAAGATCAGAAGATAAACATCAGCCACATCGAAAAAAACAGTGCAGAATCTGTTAACGTAAGTGCCTCTTATCTGCAAAAGATTCTTGAAAATATGACTGAATAGTACAAAGGTAAAGGCACTTACCTTTCTTCTCAAAGATCTGCACTAAAATGGCTTGGAGCAACAAAGAAATAAATTGTTGCTCCTTTATTCTGTCGTCAGTGAATTGTTGGGCAGAACACATATATAAATTCCTATATATGCCAAGTTGATTAAAACATTTTTTAATAAAATGGTAATAAAGTGGCTCTTCTAATGAACATAAGGTGTTCCTAATAACTCTATCCTTGGTCCATTTCTCATTCCTCATCAAAATGAAGGAGCAGCACTTCCACACACATGCAGATAATACACAACTAATCCTACACTCCAGGACCACTGCTGTTCTGACAAACTTCCCATCAAATAATATGTCCTGAATGGACCTCAACATTCTCCAACTAAATATCAACAAAACCAAGGCTATTCTGCTCCTCACCTATCTTGTATCAATGTCTGGTTGCTCACACAGGTAAGATGGTGAAGCAAGATGATAAAGAATATGTCTGAGGAATTGAAAGAAACAAGATTTCTAGTTCCCCATTGAAGGTCACAATCAAAATCAAGGTTTGTATTATGAGAGTGCGCTGAGGACATGCAATATGATAGAAGAGGAAACATCACAAAAGGGGATAAATCTTCAACCCAACATTGCCATCATCCAAGCTAGTTTCTCTTGCTGTTCTTTCAGCCTTGGTGATGTGCTGCACAATGGACTAAGGCCCTTCATCTCATTAAAAACAAATCCAACCTCCCTTTCTAACTCTTGGCCTCTTACCTATTCAAAGCACTGTTCAAGGCACAGGAAATGAGCTATAGTTGCATCATTTGTTCCTGTATTAACCTTAACCTGAGCTGGTGTCATACCACGTGGGTGCCAGAAACAAGCTTGAATATCCTCACCCAATATACACATACTGCAATACTTTCCATGAGTTACCACAGAAGTGGGAACCATGATTTTCTTCCTCCTCCCTAACCTGAGAACAGCTATTTCAATACAAGGTATGAATTAAAGATCTTCTACTCCAGTATGGCTCTTTGCATTCCAAGCAGTGGTTTTACCAACCAAGCTATCAGTGGCACTGGTAAATGTTCCTTAAAAATGACTTACTTCTTCATCAATCTTGTCTTCAATGCCTTCGATGCGACGTTCTTTAAGAAAACGCTGTGTCTTTTCCAATTGAAATTTTACCAGTTCATCAATGGCGTCCTTCTCTTCTTTATCAACAAACTCTTGCACAGCTTCTCCCATCCCTCGTTCAGTCAACAGTGACAACTGGATACTCTGCAGGAAGAATAAAACATAGGAGATTGGATTATTTTAAAGACGGACACTATTTATTGTCTTGCTAAATTGGAAGGCAATAAAACAAATCACTTTATCATCTTCAAAAGGGTGAAGGAATGAATGGACACAGCAGGCTTCAAAACCAGAACCTTCCAATCCCAAGACACAAATAATTAATGTTTTCCAAAACTACAATAGGGTCAGAATCTTTTTATTACAGTTTTTGGGCAAAGAAACTGATTGCAGTATTACAGTACTGATAGCGTTCCTACAGAATACAAGTTTACACAGTCACTGAAAAATGTTTATGTGCTGTGAAGAACAAAAAAACAATTTAAAACAAAAATGATCATTTAGCATCAAGATTCCATAAGGTGCTGAGTGGAGCTGGCAACAATTAAATTAGGTGATCTTTAACCAGACACACCTTGTGACTGCACTATTTGAAGGTCACGCAGTACTGAAGTAGACTGAATATTTGAAGACTGGCTTCACTTAACTAAACAACTGTCTTCCAAACTGTTGAAATTACTTATTTTTCCCCTCACAACCTAAAAGCAGCATTTGCAATTGGCAAGAGTATGTGACTGCTTAAGTGGCATTTACTTACTTTCTCTGCAGTCTCAAAATACTGCTTCACTAGGTCTTCGACTCTTAAAGTGAACCCTTCTGAAGCAGACCTGATAGTACATTTCTCAAAATTAATCTTTTGGTCATCTGTAACAAAATCACAAAAAATAAAAATGCTTTATCTTACATTGCCTAATTACACAAATGTTTTTCCTCCTTTGAAAGTATTATTCTTTCACCTTCAAATAAATATACTGAAAAGAAATTGCAGGACATTGTTCCTTTTAAGGTAACTTTTCTCAATAAACGGCAGACCACTAGGAGTAGGGAATCTTCCCACTCAGCAGACAGGTCAGTCCTAGCTGGACAAGCAGAGAGAAACCTTACTAGACATCAATATCAATGGCAAGCTATGCAGTTTTGGCTGTAACCCAACGCACACTCTGGGGTTTCCAAGCCTTGGCTCTTATCAACATAGGCCTAATACAATCCAGACTTTGGTAAGTAGGATGGTCCCTCCAGAGAGAGAATTTCCATTCTAACAATCTATCTCTGGAATTTCCATGTGTAAGTGGGGTGCATGGAATTCTCAGCTTGATCTAGTTACCCTTAAGCATGGTGATGGGTTTCCGCATGTGTCAGACACTCAGCTGACGCACCCCTCCAAAAAAAAAAAAGAGTCATGTGATCTCCCTAGACTACTGTAGTTAGTTCCACTTCTGTAATTCCTTCCCCTCTTCTCTTAAAGAAGCTGACAGCTGATATGTAATAGGTTATGGCTCCATGGCACAAGCACAACTTAAAACAATTTGGGTCAACTGTTAGCAGGCTATTCAATGGAGGAAGGGGTGTGATATTGGAGCACCACAACAAGACTGATATGGATGGTATCTCAGTGCTTACAGACAATAATCAGGAGTGGAAAGCCTAATTACAGTGAGAAAAATATAGCACCCCTCCCTCACTCATTGCTGAGTCATTGATCAGTTAGCTCAGCACAGGTGGGAGAGCTATTGAACAGCTCAGTTTCATGCAAGGCATAGGAACAGGAGTAGGCCATTCAGCCCCTCGAGTCTGTTCTGCCATTGTATAAGATGATGGCTGATCTGTATCTCAACTCCAATTACCAGTGGCTTTGCAAGAGTTACCGGGAACTTGTGGAGAGGCAAAGTCGTGGAGCGAGGGAGGTGGAGCCTCTTTCAAAAATGTTTAGTAATAAACCAAGGATCATATTTATTAGTATCATAATAAGAAATCCTGCTGGTCACTGACAGTATATCACAATGATGTTGTGGGGTTCCTGCTGTGAAGCAATAAAAGTAGAATATGCAATTCCATTGTGATATACTGCCCAAGCAAGCGTAGCCATTTGCTATTAGTAAATCCCAGTTCAACTACCAGATTTTTGACCCCACTGTATTGTGAACATTACCTTTTTTGTCTTTTTGCTCCTTTTGCCTCAAAAAGTGAATAAGATCCTTAGGGTTGGCAACTCGTTCTACAAATCTCTGGCTGAATCGAAGCATGCCAAACGGTTCAAATCCACTGTAATCCACCTAACCATGTGAAGGACAAAGACAGACAACTCACAAAATCATAAGATTGGTCTGGATGAAGAAGGCCCTTCGAGCCATCTGATCCACCCTACCGGGCCCCTAGAGATGCAATGCAGATGTTGACAGATCAATTAACTCTTTCATTGATTTTGTCAATATTCTTTCCTGAAGGCACTGATTCTTACTAGTGTAAACCTTTTCCAAGTAATCATGCACAAGCAACTGTTAAACTAATTGGAGGTTGGGTTCATACACAGGGCATTTTCAGAGGCATTGTTTTTCCAATAATATGTTTAATACCAAGGTTCTCTCTGGAGTCAATAAAATGCCCCATGACACTATTGGAGACAGTATCCAGATAAATCGGCCATTCACCTTATAGATGTTTGTGGGACCTTTCTGTGTGCAAAATGGCCATTATCTACAAATTCATTACTACACCTGTCAGTCATTACTGTAAAGCACTTTTGAGATGTTTTTGAGTGATAAGACATTATAAAAATGTTCTCTCTCATCACAGTTGATTAATCAAGATATCTTTAAATAAATAACAAGTACAATGGAATTGACACTACTGGTTTTCAACTGGTGTAACTCATACCCACAGCAGCCGAAACCCTCGTCCACGCCTTTTGTCACTTCCAGGGTGGACGTTTCAAAAGCCCTTATCGCTGGTCTCTCTAGCCCCACAATACACAAAATTCAATTAATTAAAAACTCCGCCGCCTGGATACTAACCCACACAAAACTCTAGCCTCATCACACCAGTCCTTGCTAGGCAGCACTGGCTCCCAATTACTGATCACATCCACTTTAAGATCCTCTCACTAGATTTCAAATCCCTTTGTGCCCTCGTATTTGGTTTCCTTACCTATTCGATTTGCTTATCCCCACTCCACCACCCGCCGCCTGCGCTCGGCCGGCTCCAGGCTCTTGCTCATCCCTCGTCCCCTCCACCATCGGTGGCCGTGCTTTCAGCCACTACGCCCCAAAGCTCTGGAACTTGCTCCCTCAATCCCACTGCCGCACCACCTTCCTCCCCACTTTCAAATCCCACCTAAAGACCTTCCTTTTTGAACATGCTTAGTCAGCTCCCCCCTCCCTTTCCCCCTGGCTCAGGGTCAGACTCCACCACTGTCAAGCACTCTGGGACACTACCCCACATGAAGGACACTATATAAATGTAAATTGTTGTTCTGTAAGCCATGCTTTCATTTAATCTCAAACTCTGTGCATTTACAGTGATCATATAAATAAATTATATTTACATTTGATAAAGTATCTTATCTGAAAACATCTCAAAGAGCTTTATGTACTGAGTTACTTTGAAATGCCCATTAATGACCAATGAACATCTTGAAGTGCCTCCCAAAATATTATTATTTTATCCCATTTTAAGACCTATTCCTTCAACATTTTATTCAAGCCAGTTCAATCACTTAAAATCTCAGTTGTTCAAATTTAATTTTACTTTGAGATTCTTTTAACCAGCAATTTGAAGTCTCTACACTCACTCTTAGCCTTATGAGAGGTTTTTCCGGTTGGCCTGGATTTCCAAGATGCTCTCTTTCAGCAAGATCCAGCAATGCCTCTACCTAGAATACAAATACAACAGTTAAAATGAGGGCGAACTCTTACTTCACACTAAATTATTCAGATTTTATGAAGCTTCAAGACAATTACCATAGGCTCAACGTACATTTACAAGTCTAGCAGGAGTTGAACTTCTATGTTGAATTTCAACTTAAGAAGAATGCATTTTAAATATGCTTCAATGCAATGAACACATTTTCTAAACATTGGCCACAGATAAACATGGTAAAATGTAAATGTATGCTCCATTTGCACTTTCAATGCTTTATTCTAAGCTTTGTACAGAGGAAAGTTATTGTAACAGTTCACTTCCAAACGGTCTGCTCCCACAATTTAAGTAACAGATTCATACCTACTTTAGTATCATCATTTACACTAGCATCTATCATTTATACTACTAGCTAGTGTTTCTTACTACCAAGTGTAGATATCATTATGTTACTACCTAGCATTTGTTAGTATCTAGCATCAATCTGTGTAACACTATAAATGTTCTCACACCAAGCACAGAGAATGTGAAATGCACCTGGCCCAAAAGACCTTAGATGCACAATCGTTTGGAATAATGTAAAGGGAGATTCAGTTCGACATCGTTATATTGCACGTCTTACACTGTGAATTTGGATCCAATGTGGGCACCATACTTCCTGCCTCTGGCACCAACTCACCAACTTCAGAGTCTTGGGATATCAGTCTGATTTGGGTACTCATAAGCATGGTGATCAGTTTTCACATGCATCAGATCCCAGTTGACCAAAAAAAGGTTACAGCTGAATTTTCTATTGGCTTACCTTTTCTGCACAGAAGGCCTCTATTTTCTGTGTGACTTTGGGATCTTCTGGGTTGAAAATGGCTGAGTGATCTCTAAGAATGATGTCCTCAATATGAAATTGTCGAACTGTTTTTAAAGGAATCTTCTGCATTCTCATTTTCTTTCCTTTGATTTGTAGCAACCCTATATGTCTACGTCAAAGAGTAGCTTTATCAGTAATACCTCACAAATCCTGTTCACTACAAATGAACTCCAGGTCAGTACAACTGACTTTGAAGATTAGGGAACTGTAGAATATATATTGTTTCCTAAGAAACAGTTCAATCCAAAATATAGTGGAACTCCATTATAACAGATTCACTTATGGTGTTTTGGAGTGTCCACCCCAGCATTTACTTACTAAGTAATTATAAATGCATAATATTGGAAACGCCTGTGCCCGTTCACTGGTCTGCTGCTCCTTCTCCTTTTAACCACAAGTCCACCTCACTGCTTTGCCCTGGACTAGGCTAATACACTGAAGGAAAGCCCAACTAAATAATAATAATCTTGCATTTGATATAGTGCCTTATCAGACATTTCAAAGCGCTTCACAGAATGTACTGCAAAATGAATTGACTGTATAACTCATGGGCAAAACGTGGCACCCAATTGCACACAACAGTGTCCCACAGTCGTGGATTGAGTGACCAAATTGTTATAATAATATTTTTTTAAAAAGGGAATTTATTACCCCGGGAAAAGCGATCTGCCAATCAACTAACAACCAGGTTCCTGCATACTGCTGGGTAAAAAGAGGCGTGTGGAGTAAGGAAACTTGCCTAAGGTTTTTCCCTGCCCAGGAATCAAACCAATGTCCTCTTGCTTGAGAGGCGAGTGCTCTAACCAATATGCTACAGGACTCCACAACATCATATCCAATGAATAAGTCCGATATCAGCGTGTACTTGTAACCATTCTTCATCAATTATTCGATTCTATTCCCATCATGTATTCTCTTGATTTCTAATAAGATAATTTTTTAAATCTAAATTGTAAGATGGGGAGGACATACATCGTACTGAAAAAGTGATTCCCTAATACTAAACCTCTCCCTCAAACCTTGGGATAGTTACATTTGTTTTGCTTCAACACAAAGTGTGAAGAATTTTCTTCACTGGACTCATGGAAAAGGTCAAACTATAAGTAAAATGGGTGAGGAATCAACAGGTGCAGCTATACGTAGTGCAGTGTGTCTGTTAACTTGTTTGTTCTGAACTAGAAAATAAAAGAGGAAAGAGAAACAAACATACTTTTTTATGGCTTCTCCTGGAGAAAGAGACGTGACAACAGAGCTGCCTGGCTGACAGACGTAAAAAAGCTGCTGTTCATTGCTTATGGGAGTTATTTTACACTCATGTTCATGACCCCAAATTACTAGGTCAAGGAAGTCATCCAAAAACTGCTCAGGAATGTAATTGGTCGCTCCATGTTTGCTCCTGTGTGAAGGAAAGAAAAACTGGTCAAATGTTCATTTGTAAAGACATTTTTTAAAGTATCTGTATTTTCCTCTCTAAGGAATATGTTTCAGCACTCCAGGAAAGCTGACTACATGTGTCAATTTGTACGTTATACGCAGACTTCCTTAATTTTGTTAATTTTAAACAGATAATATTGCCTTTTACTTTGCTTGTTTTTCAATTTTTAACAAGGTTTCGACTACACAAACAACCTCCAGATAGCTAGTGAGCAACACACAGGAAGTGAGAGGGCAGGGAGGGTAGGGATAGGAAGGTGGCCGAAGACACGGTCAAAGACCAGGGTCTTGAGGCCTGCTTTGAATGAGGCGAGGGAGGAAGGCAAAGAGACTGTGGGAAGGCGTTCAAAAGGGTGGGGGCAGAGAAGCTGAAGGTCCAACCGCCATGGAGGGTCTTGAAGACGAGGATTTTGAACTCTATCCTCTGGGGGATGGGGAGCCAGTGGAGCTGGGCGAGGGGTTATAGGGTCATGGAGCCTTGTGCGGGAGAGAACATGAGCTGCAGAGTTACACAATAATTCTTGTATTTGATATAGCACTTTATCACATCTTCGAGACGTCTCAAGGCGCTTCACAGAATATACTGTAAAGTGAATGTATATTTTGTGGGCGAAATGCAGCAGCCAATTGCGCACAACAGTGCTCCACATACACTTGTAGGATTGAAGTGACTAATTTATTCTTATTTTTTTTAAGGAATCATTGTCTCCTGGAAAAGCATTCACCAATCGACTAACAACCGGGTTCCTACTTACTGCTAGGTAAACAGAGGCGTGTGGAGTAAGGAAACTTGCCTAACATTTCGCCCTGCTGAGAATTAAACCCAGGTCCTCTCGCGTACGAGGCAAGTGTTCTAACCACTGAGCTACAGAACTCCATTAAACTCCACAAGCTTAATCACAAGAGAAATGGCATCTCTTAAGCCAAGAGGAGCCTGGGGTTGTCCTTGGCCTCCAAGATTATCTTAGGAGTAGAATCTCACGAGTTGGCATAGCATTAAATTCTTTGCAAAAAAATCTAGTTTATGCCACGGGGCATTCACTTGAGTGCAAGATAACAGTAACATGGCAGGGACTCCTTTCAATCCAAGTTTCAAAATACAAGTTTTCCTTTTTTAGTGCCCCAACTCATGTAAACACTCTAAATCTTGAGTTTTCATCAGATGCTTCAAAATCCCATGTCTCACCTGTTTTGATGAATAACAAATATGTTAAACCAACTGTCTTCATCTTCCTTTGGTCTAAGTGTAGTAACCTTTTTATCGACAAACATACGATACAGACGCTCATCTGGAATTGATCCTGTAAATTATTAAACAATGTACAGTCAAGCTTACAAATCCAAAATGTCAAACAGCAGAAGTTGAAACTTCCATACAGGGAAGTCGTTTAAAATATTATTACATACAGACATTTCTCGCTCTCAATTGAAACTAGGGGAAGAAAAGTACAGCATAGGATATTGAAGACATCAGATTTGAGTGCAACTGAAACCAAATACAGACTTAATTCAGCAAAGAATGTTTTAATTCTAACGACTTAAATGAATTGTTATTCACTCTTCAGAATCTCACCCAATCCATAAAGTGCCAGCTTTGAATTTCCTTTCTGGATCAGAACTGGACTGATGTCAATCTTCTCTAAGGACATTGACTGACCAAAATGATTTATTAATCCCGCACAACTCAAAAGATCCAATGCACACAGCGCATCTGCCTAAGACAAAAGAAAACCCAAGATTTTGTTAACAGAAAATATTTAGTATACTCTAAAATGATTATCTGCAAATACAGTCACTTTTAGTAAAATCCTGTGAAGCACTGAGATGTTTCAACAATGTAATGAGGCATAATCTCAAATCCAAGGATTATTATTATAAGTAAACAGCAGATCTTGGAAAAGGGAAATAAACAATTATCCCTACTACAATAAATAATAATCCCTACATTTCATATAGCATGTTTCACGTCAGAAGGATGCCTCAAAGCACTTCCAGGATTTATTGTAAAGCATTGTGACTATGTTTTGTAGGCAAGAGTGGCAGCCAATTTTACAGTAATGTCCCACCATCAAGTCACAAAGTGAATGACAAATTTTACGGGGGGATTATTGGCCAGGACAACAGGAAGAACTCCCTTCTCTTTTCAGATAGTGCCATGACATTCTTAAAGTTCACCTGAACAGATAGACAGACTTCTGTTTGGCACAGAAACAGGACTAGGCCATTCAGCCCCTTACCCACCCTTGCCAATATCCCTCAATATCCTGATCTAACAAATATCTATCCACCTCAGTCTTGAAAACGTGAATGGATCCAGCATCCACAACCTGTTGGGAGAGAGTTCCAGATTTCCATGACCCTTTGGGTGAATCACTTCCTCCTGATTTCACTCCTAAATAGCCTAGCTCTAATTTTAAGATTATGCCCACTTCTCCTGGATTGATCCACTATAGAAAAGCATTTCTCTGTATCTACCCTATGGAATTCCTTTGTCATTTTAAAAACCTCAATCAGATCACCCCTCAACCTTCTAAACTCAAGGGAATAGACACCAAGTTTATGCAACCTGTTCTTGTACTTTAACCCTTTAAGCCCTGGTATCATTCTGGTGAATCTGCACTGCACCCTTTCCAGAGCCAATAAATCCTTCCTGAGGTGTGGTATCCAAAAATGAACGGAGTACTCCAGATAGGGTCTGACCAAGCCTCTATACAGTTGAACCCAACAGCTCACCTCCAACAATGTAGCAGATTCCCACCGCTGCACTGAAGTGTTGGCCTAGAGCAGGGTTATCCAATACACTGGCCACATGTGGTGAATTGGGAATCCAGATGTAGTTAAATTGCATTTTTGATTAGTAAATAAAGAGTAATAGATACGAATGTTGGGCATGTGATCTTCTAGACATCTCAAAGCACTTCACAGAACAGACTGTAAAGTGAATTGACTGTATATTTGTGGGTGAAATGTGGCAGCCAAATTGCACACAGCAGTGTCCACAAAGTCATGGATTGAAGTGACCAACGTATTATTGTTTTCTTTTTTCTTGAGGGATTATTATTAGGCGTGTGGAATAGGGAAACTTGCTCAAGGTTTCGCCCTGCTGGGAATCGAACCCAGGCCTCTCGCTTGAGAGGCGAGTGCTCTAACCACTGAGCTACAGGACTCCACACCACTGAGCTACAGGACTCCACATGACATCATGACTGATGAAGTCAAAGTACCAGTTGCAACTGCTGGACACAAAGCTAGAAGCTGCACGAAGATGTGCAGTGTCTGATATATTCATGCCAGAATTCCAAAATTTGGTAAAAGAGAAAGGCTGCAAAGTTTCACACTGAAGGGTGGTAGATGTTTGTTAAGCAGATGTTTAAGTAAACATACATGTGAAGTACATTTAACTGTATTGTGCGAGTGTATGTGAGGTGCTTTTTTTTAACTAAAAAAAGTGCATGCGGCTAAAATGTTGTCGCCTTAAGACAAAACCTGTGGCTATTCAGTGATTTCTATTCAACAACACTGGCCTAGAATAGTGGCTGCCAACCAATAAATGTGGTATCAAAGCTCGGTAGCTACTGGAACATTGGGGTGGACTGGCCTGGCACAGGTCTTTGGTAAGATACTTCTTGATGCTACAAGAAGTCGATCGCAATCGACCAGTTGGAGACCCCTGGCCTAGAGTATATGAGTTCCAGTGGAAAGTAGTGGTTTTCAATATCTTGATTACATATCAGATGAAAGCAGAAGTTTAACTTTAAAACTCCATAAATAAGCTTAGTGCTAAATAATCAAATAATACTGTATGACTTTAGCATTAAAGTCAGTAAACACTAAGTTCTACTTACCCCTGTAGGATCATCGTGGTTACCATGAATACTAAAAACAGGAATGGAAATGTTTAAATTTCCATCCTGATAGTTAACCCAGGGAAACCTGAAAACAAAATGTGGTGCTGTTGTCAAGCAAGCTTTTATTTTGAGGAGTACAAAATAAGTCTCAAAATGTTTATATTAAAACAGTAATAAGATTGTTGGGATTATGTTCCCCATTACTTTTCAGTTAGGAATCTGCTGTCTTTTCACATACTGAACTAGGAGATGACGCAATCATACGTAACCTGCAGCACTAAGACAGTGAGGAGGCAAATGTGTCTCAGTGACCTTTTTCCCCCCCGACAGAAAATCATAATTTTAGATGCAGTTCAGTCAAGAATATACAACATAAAATGAAAAGTGAAAACCATTCCACTAAACTTCCCTACATACGCTGTTGTGGAACATGCTGAGCAGAAGACAGATTCTTTCCCTGGGGTTTGAACAACGCAAGCCATTCTAATCTAGTTCAGTGACACCCTGATTATCCACCACAATAAGTCACTACATTTGTCAATAATTATTGTGTGTTTTGAGACAATTTCCCAGGATTGGTTTGGTTGCAGAAGGCCCTTCGGCCAATTTAATTTCATTCTTCCAAAACACCCTTACAGTCTTCCCATTAAAACATCAACCTGCTTTTTAACATGAGTCCCGCATCCTAGCCTCAACCATCCTTCCTGATAACCTGTTCCGGCCATTAATTTCCCTCTGGGTAAAGAAATACTTCTTGACGTCTGTGCTGAAATTGCCTGTTGTAACTCTGAACCACTGGTGCTTTCTTGTCGACAGTCTCAGTGCATCCAAAAGTAAATTCAATGTTCTAACATTAAAAATGTAAGTTCCTCATCATAGGATAGAGGACTCCATCCCTATTCCAGTGAATAATTAGAATTGGCAAATGGGTTCTCCCATACCACCTAGAATCATACAGCACAGAAGGAGGCCATTCAGCCCATCGTGGCTGTGCCGGCTCTTTTAAAAGAGCTATCCAAATCAATCCCACTCCCCTTCTCTCTCCCCTTAGCCCCCAAACTTGTCCTCCTCAAATAATTATCTGCTTCTTTCTTAAAAGTTGTTATCGAATCAGCTTCCACCACCCTTTCAGGCAATGCATTCCAGATCCGAACAATTCGCTGTGTAAAAAAATTCTTCTCACATTCTCTGTTTCTTTTAACAACTATTTTAAAACAGTGTCCTCAGGTTACACCCACCAGTGGAAATACTTACTCCTTCTCACCCTATCGAATCCCCTCATAATTTTGAAAACTTCGCATTTCTCCTTTTAACCTTCTCTGCTCCAAGAAGAATAATCCTAGCTTCTCTAGGCCCTCCTGATAACTGAAGTCCCTCATTCTTGGTAACATCCTGGTAAATCTCCTTTGCACCCTCTCCAATGCCTTGACATCCTTCTTAAAATGTGGTGCCCAGAACTGAACACAGTACTGTAGCTGAGGCCTAACCAGTGTTTTTATAAAGGTTCATCATACCTTCCTGAGTTTTGTATTCTATGCCCCTATTTATAAATTCTGTATTTTTTTTTATAAACAGCTTTATCTATTTGTTCTGCAACCTTCAGTGATTTACTGAAATGAACCCCCAGATCTTTCTGTTCCTTCACCCCTTTAAGATTGTACCATCAGCTCATATTGCCACTCCTCATTCTTCCTCCTAAAATGCATCACTTCGCATTTCTCCACATTAAATTTCATCTGCCACGTGTCTGCCCATTTTACCAATCTGTCTATATCCTCTTGCAGTGCTACTATCCTCCTCATCATTTACTACTTTTCCTGGCTTAGTATCGTCTGCAAACTTGGAAATTGTACTCCCTATACCCAAGTCCATTTCATTTATAAAGGTCAAAAGGAGCAGTGGTCCCAATATTGACCCCTGGGGGACACCACTGCACACTTCCCTCCAGTCAGAAAAACAACCGTTCACCACAACTCTCTGCTTTTTGTCTCCCAGCCAGTTCTGTATCCATGCTGCCACTGTCTGTTTAATACCATGGGCTTCTATTTTGCTTACAAGTCTCTGATGTGGCACTTCATCAAACGCCTTTTGAAAATCTATATAAACTAAATCAACTGCACTACCTTCATCCACCCTCTCTGTTACTTCAACAAAAAACTATCAGGTTTGTCAGACACAATTTACTTTTAATAAATCCATGTTGGCTGTCCTTTATTAACCCATATTTTTCTAAATGAAAATTTATTTTGTCCTGGATTATAGTCTCTAAAAGTTTCCCCACTACTGACGTGAGTAACCTAGGAAGCATCCCGTCCAGACCGGGTGACTTATCTATCTTGAGCCCCATCAACTTTTTTTTAAAGTACCTCCTCTGTTTATTCTTATCCTATCCAATTTCTCTACCCTCTCCTCCAATACTGTGGTGTTGGCTGCATCCTCCTCTTTTGTAAAGACAGCTGCAAAGGACTCATTCAGTATGTCAGCTATGTCCTCCGCCTCCACAAGAAGCTTTCCTCTCTGGTCCCTAATAGGCCCCACCCTAACCTTTTGACTAACCTTTTATTCTTTATATGCTTATAAAATACTTTAGGGTTCCCTTTTATATTACCTGCTGATCTTTTCTCATACAGTCTCTTTGTCCCTTTTACTTCCTTTTTCAGTTCTCCTCTATGCTTTCTATATTCAAATTGATTATCTTCTGTATTTTGGACCTGATATTTATCATAAGTGTCCTTTGTCTGATTTATTTTAATCCCAATTTCCTTACTCATCCAGGGAGGTGTGGATGCCCTACCTTTCCCCCTTTGTGGGAATGTATTTGTTCTGTCCCTGAACTACCTCCCCCTTGAAGGCTTCCCATTGCTCGTTACCTGCCAATCTTTCTTTCCAGTCCACCTTGGCAAGGTCCCTTTTTAACTCACTGAAATTAGCCAGCTTCCAGTTGAGTATCTTCACCTTTGACCTTGTCCCTTTCCATAAGTACTCTAAACCTAATGATGTTGTGATCACTGTTGTCCAGGTGCTCTCCTACTGATACCTGCTCCACTTGCCCCACTTCATTCCCCAGAACTAGATCCAGCACTGCTTCCTTCCTCATTGGCCTGAAAATCTACTAATCCAGAAAGTTATCCTGCACACATTTCAGGAATCCTTCCCCCTCCTTGCCCTTTACACTGTTTTTGTTCCAGTCTATGCTAGAATAATTGAAGTTCCCCATTATCACTACTCTATTGGTTTTGAATCTTTCTGAAATCTGCTTACAGATTTGCTCATCTATCTCCTTCCCACTATTAGATGGTCTACAGTATACATCTAACAGAGTAACAGCTCCTTTTCTGCTCCTTAACTCTAACCAAATAAGATTCTGTTTTTGGACCCTGTAGCACATTGTCCCTTAATTAACCACGTCTTTAATTAATATTGCCCCACCCCTCCTTTTTGTTTTCCTTCCCTATCCCTTCTGAATGCATTGTAGCCAGGAATATTCAGCTCCCATTGCTGCCCTTGTTTGAGCCAGGTCTCCGTGGAGTCCTGTAGCTCAGTGGTTTGAGCACTCGCCTTGCAAGCAAGACACCTGGGTTCATTTCCAGGCAGGGCAAAACCTTGGGCAAGTTTCCTTACTCCACACGCCTAATAATAATCCCTCCAAAAACAAAACAATAATAAATTGGTCATTTTCAATCCACGACTGTTTGTGGGACACTCCTGTGAGCAATTGGCTGCCATGTTTCATCCACAAATATACAGTCGATTCACTTTACAGTCTATTCTGTGAAGCACTTTGAGATGTCAAGAAGACATGAGAAGCACTGTATCAAATGCAAAGATTATTATTATATTACCACAATATCATAACCTCAACTTGAGCCTGCAGCTCACCAACCTTATTTGTTACACTCCATGCATTTACGCACTTGCACTCCAATGATCCAGAAACCTGAAGCCCTCCTTTCTGCACTATTTCTCCAGCCATGCATTCATGTGTTTGATCCTGCTGTTTTGATACTCACTTGCACGCGGCACTGGGAATAATCCAGAGATCACCACCTTTGAAGTCCGACTCTACCTTTTTTTCCTAGCTTCTGATGCGCTCCCTATAGAATCTGAACCCTTGTTTGTCCTACGTCATGGATCCCAACATGGACCATGACTGCTGGGCTCTCTGCTCAAGTGAAGCGCTCGCAAATCTCCCCTTTATATAGGCCTCTGAGACAACCAGTTTCAACTGGTCAGCAAATAATTAACTAATCCCTAACAGCTAGCCTGTGACTAACTGCCAATTTAATTTGTTTACCTGCTTGTTTGAAAAGTTTTCTCTTGCTGACATATTTTTCCAGTTTGTTTAGAAAAGTGAGGCACTAAAAAATTCTAACATTGTTGTACATCAAAATAATGGATAAACTTTCTGTTTTAAGAGTATGATTTCAGGAACATAAAAGACAAAACAAATAATCCAAAATTTGCTAAAAAGAAAACGTTGGTTAGTTTTTGTTTGTATTTCAATTCTGAATAAAAATAGTTAAATTGAGATATGTAAATAATATTAAATGTACAAGAAAAGTACTTACTTGCTAAAACTGAAATTAACTGACTGGTCGCTTAAGATTTCAAACTGTATTGGACGGTCACCCATGCAGTATTTTCTCAGTAGCTGAATGCAGGTGTGCATGGTTTTACGAGATGGTTTGTTGTCATGGAAGAGGTCGCCACCCAGCAATATAAAATCGACCTGTGAGGAGAACAAAGCAAATACGTTGAAAAAATAATATTAATCCTTGCATTTGATATCGGCGCTTTATCACAGTAGCAGGAAGTAGGAACCCGTTTGTTAGTCGATTGGCGGGTCGCTTTTCCGGGGGTAATAATTCGTTCAAAAAAAATAATAATTTGGTCATTCAATCCATGACTGTTCGTGGGACACTGCTGTGCGCAATTTGCTACGCATTTTGCCCACAAAACATACAATCAATTCACTTTACAGTATACTTTGTGAAGTGTTTTGAGACATCTAGAAGACGTAATAAGGTGCTATATTAAATGCAAGGATTATTATTATTAACACATCTTTGAGACGTCTCAAAGCACTTCACAAAATATACTGTAAAGTGAATTGACTGTATATTTTGTGGGCGGAATGCAGCAGCCAATTGCGCACAGCAGTGTCCCACAAGTAGTCATGGATTGAGTGACCAATTTATTATTTACTTTATTTTTGACGGAATTATTACCCCTGGAAAAGCGATCTGTCAGTCAACTGACAATCGCCTTCCTATTCACTGCTAGGTAAACAGAGGCACGTGGAGTAAGGAAACATGCCCAATGTTTCGCACTGCTGGGAATCGAACCCAGGTCCTCTCGCTTGCGTGGCGAGTGCTCAACTTAGGAGTGATCCCCTGAATCATCGTACCGATGTGGCAGCTCCACATCTAGAATGCATGAATCTTTGGTTGGACTCACTTAATTTTTTTTGCAGTGAAGACTAATGGAGGCTTCTTCATTGCAGACAAAAACACAAGCTCAATATTCAGTCTTTTTTTTACTAAAAGGTTAAGAGAACGTAATGTATATAGTGCACCTGAATAAAACATAAGTTGCAAAGTATTCTAATGGTTCTGTAGCACAACTTCGCTCACCTCATTTTCCTCTGCGTGTCTTAATATTTCTTCAAAAGTTACAAAAGTGTCGTTTCCTCTTATTGCATCCTTCTCCAAATAGCCAAGATGAATGTCAGTTGCGATCAAGATTTTAAAAGTGTTTTCATCGTCACTGTAACAATTATAAATAAACAAAAGGCACTCACATAAAAAATATAGACACTTACATTTTAAGATCCATATCCGTAACTGGAACAATTTACAGTAAAAATCACATAAGTCGTATCAGTGTGGACCATAACATTTAATATGACTTACGCAAAGCCCAATTTGCAGTCCAACCGCATAAGTCATAGAAAATCCAATTTAATCAATAATTACCACTACGCATGAGTAATTCAATGCAGTCAATAGGTGCGCTTGAGGTGACAGATAAAGATTACCTTCCCGCGATTCAATGTGTCTTGACCTGTCAACGCAGGTGAACTTACCAGCAAGTACTGGAACCGCTTTGAATCACGGGAAATTAACTTCTTCTGTGCATGGAGCAGGTCTACATTTCCTACGATTCAATGCAGCCGGCTGGTAAGTGCGCATGTGCCAACGGGTCAGGATGCCATTTCTCACAATTCAATGTAGCTGGTAAGTGCGGGAGTAATGGAGGGAGGGGAGCGGTGGTACGAGTTAGGAGGTGAGTGGAAATTAATCTAAGTGGTTTTGATTGAAAACTGAATGGGACTCGGGTGAATGTACGACTTGGTAATCATATTTATAAATATGATTTATAAAGATAAGACTTATACAAGTGTTATTGTATTATGCGGTGCACCAAGCTACAACCAATACCATTGCTCCTGTTTCACTGCAATATGATTTACAGTCAAATAGACAATACAGATGTCATGAGCCGAAGGAGCCTCTTTAATTGATAGGTAATCAATTTCCTTCAGTGACATCACCTCTGGATGAGAACAAAAAGGCACTACAGAAGCAAAGTAAAATAAAAACAAAGCACATTCAGCTTGGGATAAGACATCATTACTAGTAAAACCCATCAGGAATTTGGTTTGCAGGATTAAAAGGAGCTGAATTAGAGGAATCCTGCTTCCAGTGACTGGTCTGCCCCTCCAAATTCTGTCAATGAGCCTGGCTGGCGGGGCTGTCATCAACAATGCTCTGGAGTACTGCAGATCCACCTCAGGGACTGGACTGGAGACAACCATAGAGGGTTGACTCAATTCTGACATTCCGTTGCCAAGTGGCCAGTTTAGTTCCAAGGAGACCCCACTTACCTTAATGCATTAAACTTAATCTGCCATGTGCCTGCCCATTTCACCAGTCTGTCTATGTCCTCCTGCACTCTGCTACCATCCTGCTCAGTTGTTTACTATGTTCCCAAGTTTTGTGTCATCTGCAAACTTTAGTGGAGTCCTGTAGCACAGTGGTTAGAGCACTCGCTTTGCAAGCGAGAGACCTGAGTTCAATTCCAGGCAGAGGGCGAAACCTTGGGCAAGTTTCCTTACTCCACACGCCTAATAATAATCCCTCCAAAACCCAAAACAATAATAAGTTGGTCATTTTCAATCTACGATTGTTTGTGGGACATTGCTGTGCACAATTGGCTGCCGCGTTCGTCCACAAATATGCAGTCAATTCACTTTACAGTGTGTTCTGTGAAGCGCTTTGGTACGTCCTCCTGATGTGAAAAGCGCTATATCAAATGCAAGGATTATTATTATTATTATTAAATGGATCTTTGCTGGAAAAAAAAGTGAGAATCTCTAATGTCAATTATATAGACAGAAAAAGAAAAGTTTAAAGCTACAATGGTGTGAACAAACTCCTTTTGAAAACTTACAGAGTGTTCCCAGCACTCATCTTTGAAAATTGTTCAAGGTGTTGCTCACCAACTCACAACTCTGAAGTGTCCACTAGTTCATGTAGGCTACCAATTGTTAAGATTCTGAAAAGAAACACACACACAAATAATGTAAGATACAACAGCAACAACTCAGACATAGTGCTGTGTATGTACAACAATTTACATTTATATAATGCCTTTAATGTCAGGAAGACATCTCAAAGCCTTTCACATAACTGACTGAAAGCCCAAGTTGGGGGCAACCTGAAAAGAGGGTGAAAAGTGGCCAAAAGTATAGTGTGTATAGTATCTTATCTCTAACTACATATGGTATGTGCACATACAGTGTATATCTCTGTGTACAGTGTATATCAGTGTGTATCTGTGTGTATATCAGTGTGTATCTGTGTATATCTGTGTATCAGTGTATATATGTGTGTATATCTGTGTGTAAAGTGTATATATGTATGTACAGTGGATATCAGTGGATATCAGTGTGTATATCAGTGTATATCTGTGTGTACACAGTGTGTATCAGTGTGTATATCAGTGTGTATCAGTGTGTATATCAGTGTGTATATCAGTGTATACACAGTGTGTATCAGTGTGTGTATCAGTGTGTATATCAGTGTGTATATCAGTGTGTATCTGTGTGTACAAAGTATGTATCAGTGTATATCTGTGTGTAAACAGTGTGTATATCAGTGTACACAGTGTGTATATCAGTCTATATATAGTGTACACAGTGTGTATGGTGTACACAATATACAGTGTGTATATCAGTGCGTATATATAGTGTACACAGTGTGTATACAGTGTACAGTGTGTATATAGTGTACACAGTGTGTATATAGTGTGTATATAGTGTATATAGTGCACACAGTGTGTATATGGTGTATAGTGTACAGTGTGTATATGGTGTATATAGTGTACAGTGAGCACTGACCTGGTTGTGTATATACTGTACAGTGTGTATATAGTGTACACCGTGTGTATATAGTGTACACGGTGTGTATGTAGTGTACACAGTGTGTATATAGTGTACAGTGTGTATATAGTGTACACAGTGTGTATATAGTGTACAGTGTGTATATAGTGTACAGTGTGTATATAGTGTACAGTGTGTATAGTGTACAGTGTGTATATAGTGTACAGTGTGTATATAGTGTACACAATGTGTATATAGTGTACACAGTGTATATATAGTGTACACAGTGTGTATATGGTGTATATAGTGTACAGTGAGCACTGACCTGGTTGTGTATATAGTGTATATAGTGCACACAATGTATATAGTGTACATAGTGTATATAGTGTACAGTGTATATAGTGTACACAGTGTATATAGTGTACACAGTGTATATAGTGTAGTGTGAATAGTGTATACAGTGTGTAAATGGTGTATACAGTGTACAGTATGTATATGGTGTATACAGTGTACATAGTGTACACATTGTGTATACGGTGTATATAGTGTACAATGAGCACTGACCTGGTTGTGTATATAGTGTATATAGTGCACACAGTGTATATAGTGTACATAGTGTATATAGTTTACACAGTGTATATAGTGTAGTGTGAATAGTGTACACAGTGTGTAAATGGTGTATAGTGTACAGTGCGTATATGGTGTATACAGTGTACATAGTGTACACATTGTGTATACGGTGTATATAGTGTACAGGAGCACTGACCTGGTTGTGTATATAGTGTACACATTGTGTATACGGTGTATATAGTGTACAGGAGCACTGACCTGGTTGTGTATATAGTGTACACAGTGTATACAGTGTTTATAGTGTACCGTTAAACGCAGAATCAGCCTCACGTGTTTGACCCGGAAGTTCTTGTTGCTCTTCCTCTCAGCAACACAATCACATCCGGAGCGGAGTCACCGCCTCCAACTGACAGCAAATCCTGAGCCCTCACACCGCGTGAGTCTGTCTGTACACTGAGTGAGTCTGTCTGTGTACACTGAGTCTGTCTGTCTGTGTGTACACTGAGTGAGTCTGTCTGTGTGTACACTGAGTGAGTCTGTCTGTCTGTACACCGCGTGAGTCTGTCTGTCTGTGTGTACACTGAGTGAGTGAGTCTGTGTCTGTACACTGACTCAGTCTGTCTGTCTGTGTACACTGAGTGAGTCTGTCTGTACACTGAGTGAGTCTGTCGGTCTGTGTACACTGAGTGAGTCTGTCGGTCTGTACACTGAGTGAGTCTGTCGGTCTGTACACTGAGTGAGTCTGTCTGTCTGTACACTGAGTGAGTCTGTCTGTACACTGAGTGAGTCTGTCTGTCTGTACACTGAGTGAGTCTGTCTGTCTGTACACTGAGTGAGTGAGTCTGTCTGTCTGTACACTGAGTGAGTGAGTCTGTCTGTCTGTACACTGAGTGAGTGAGTCTGTCTGTCTGTGCACTGACTGAGTCTGTCTGTCTGTGTACACTGAGTGAGTCTGTCTGTACACTGAGTGAGTCTGTCTGTACACTGAGTGAGTCTGTCTGTCTGTACACTGAGTGAGTCTGTCTGTCTGTACACTGAGTGAGTGAGTCTGTCTGTCTGTACACTGAGTGAGTCTGTCTGTACACTGAGTGAGTCTGTCTGTCTGTGCACTGACTGAGTCTGTCTGTCTGTACACTGAGTGAGTCTGTCTGTCTGTGTACACTGAGTGAGTCTGTCTGTACACTGAGTGAGTCTGTCTGTACACTGAGTGAGTGTCTGTCTGTACACTGAGTGAGTCTGTCTGTCTGTACACTGAGTGAGTCTGTCTGTCTGTACACTGAGTGAGTCAGTCTGTCTGTACACTGAGTGAGTCTGTCTGTCTGTACACTGAGTGAGTCAGTCTGTCTGTACACTGAGTGAGTCTGTCTGTACACTGAGTGAGTCTGTCTGTCTGTACACTGAGTGAGTCTGTCTGTCTGTACACTGAGTGAGTCTGTCTGTCTGTACACTGAGTGAGTCTGTCTGTCTGTACACTGAGTGAGTCTGTCTGTCTGTACACTGAGTGAGTCTGTCTGTCTGTACACTGAGTGAGTCTGTCTGTGCACTGACTGAGTCTGTCTGTCTGTACACTGAGTGAGTCTGTCTGTACACTGAGTGTGTCTGTCTGTACACTGAGTGAGTCTGTCTGTACACTGAGTGAGTCTGTCTGTGCACACACTGAGTGAGTCTGTCTGTGCACACACTGAGTGAGTCTGTCTGTGTATGTCCACACTGAAGCTTTATTATTATATTATTATTATAATATTATGTCCACACTGAGTGAGTTTGTCTGTGTGCACACACACTGAGTGAGTGTCTTTCTACACATTGAGTGACTCTGTCTGTCTGTCAATACTGAGTAAGTCCATCTGTCTGTGTGCACTCACTACACTTTATAGAAAACTGAAGTGCTTTAAGACGTTATGACACAATAAGGTACTTTATCATAGAAGGATTATTGTTATACAACAATCAACCTGTTTGTGGAGTCCTGTAGCTCAGTGGTTAGAGCACTCGCTTTGCAAGTGAGAGACCTGATTTCAATTCCAGGCAGAGGGCGAAACCTTGGGCAAGTTTCCTTACTCCACACGCCTAATAATAATCCCTCCAAAACCAAAAACAATAATAAATTGGTCATTTTTAATCTACGACTGTTTGTGGGACATTGCTGTGCGCAATTGGCTGCCGCGTTCACCCACAAATATACAGTCAATTCACTTTACAGTGTGTTCTGTGAAGCGCTTTGGGACGTCCTCCCGACGTGAAAAGCGCTATATCAAATGCAAGGATTATTACTAATATATGTGTAACATTAGACCACATGTGTTATCTTCATTTAGTAGCATTCAGAAGCTTCATGCCCCATGTCAAGATTTTGAGTTTATCATCTAGGCCAGGGGTCTCCAACCTGCCACTAGGTGGTGCATGGGATGTGAAGATGCTTTTCTTTTTCTGCCCTTTGGCAATGTGAGCTTGAATCATTATGTGCAAATACTCCAAAGGTCATTAAATTTGCTGGCAATATGTAAATAATATTCACCTGTTTCAAAGGTTGTCAAATTCAATAACAAGCAGAAATTACCACTTCCCTCCTATGAGGGTCTGAGAAATCAAATATGTGGAGCCTGAAATGATTGCACTGAGTATGAGACATAAAGACAAAAAAGCACAAGCATGATACATGAACTTGAAACTGAGGATAGGAACACATGAAATCCATAGTGAGATACCAGAAATAAGAAAAATTGGGACACAAGATTGTGGATTATGAGGCATTGCATGCAACATAATGAAATTGAATTGCGGAGTCTGAGACAACGTGTGAAGTGATTGCATGTGAATGCAGTGAAGCAACTGAACATGGGGATTCAGAGAGTAAGATGGTGTGTTTGAGAAACAGCAAGAGGCAAGCATGGAGGGAGGAGGCACAGAAAGGCTGGACACTGGAAAGGTGCAGAAATGAGACATTGAGCATAGGTTGAGTCTTTCATAGCACAGAGCCTGAGTTAATAAATGCAGAGGAAGATAGCAGTTTGAAACATGATTCAATGAGCACAGATGAGGGAGCTGTACCGTTTCATGCATCCAAACCAATGCAGCCCGTAAAATTCCAAGTTCTGCTTGCCACAATGCAATTTTGAACTATATCGTGAAAATAAATGAAGAGTGTGGTTTGGTTGTGACTTGGAATACTGTGGGAATAGGGGTAGGGAGAATTGAGGAGAGAGAAGTAATGTTAATGTTACTGTACGTACGTTCATCACAACTGAGACAAATTGGAAGCCTATAAAAAGAAAACTAAAACAAAAGTTGGGTGAGACAATCATTTGAGAAATAAAAGAAAATGAATATTTCATGCCAACCAAGTGACCGGTGCAATCCACATTACTAGTTAATGATTGAAATCAAAGAAATTAACAATGGTTTAAAACAACAGGCACAAAGACATGCATTGTCGGAGGTGTCATGCTTTGGATGAAACAATAAACCAAGGCCCGTTTGCTTGTTCAGGTGGATGTTAAAATGCAGTGTTCAAAAGAAGAGTTTCTTCTGGTGCCCTGTGAAACAATCTTTCAGATTAAAAATTGGTCATTCACTTCGTGGGTCATTGCTATATGCAAATTGGCTACTGCATTTGGCTACAAGTACATTTCAAGATAACTCCTGTGAAACACATTGAAACACTCAATGACATAAGGTGCTACATCAAAAGCAAGAATAATTATATCATTATAACCAAGCCTCTAACGGCCATTTTTACTTAATAGTGGAGAGAAGAGAAAAATAAGATTCATGTCAATGAGTGTTACCCTTCACATCGGTGGCTTGCCCCATCAAATATGATGACGAGAGAAGAAGAGAGAGAAAACCTTACTTAGCATATCTTCTTGCTCCATCATGAATTTCTATTCATGACTCACAAAGAGTGTTTTTCTAATCTTCCTGCCTCTCACTAATCGAATATAAATCTAATATGTATGCCCTAACTTCATGTGTCCTGATTTTTAATGTCACAGGATTGCCGCCCAATACAAAACATTGTTCTGTCAATTTAATGTACTAAAAATGGTGAATAGTGTAGTTATTTTGGTTGTTCTATCATGCCTAATCAACATTTTATATTTCAGAGGAAGATGTATGAATAAGAGAAGAATAATGCCAAAGTAAAAAAGAAAATGTCATTTGTTACACATTCAGAAGAAAATAACCCGACTTTTCCTAAAGTAATCGAGAGCCCTGAAGGCAGGACTGAACTGATGCAAGACCTTCCAGATTACTTTAACCAGCTTGAATTGTTAGAGACACACAGACATCTGATCCCAATGGGAACTCAGAACATGTGGCCAGGAGAATCCGACGAAGAGGAAGATGAGACTGAAAATGAGGAATGTTTGAAAAGTAAAGAGAAAGAATTGGAGAACGATCCAGCAAATCTATTACTCTGGGCTTCTGAAAAAAATCGGGTAGGTTACACCCAAACTGACCATTGTTTTTCCTCCTGATCTGAAGCCTGCATACAAGAGAGCAAGTACATACTCAGATCTCAGGCTTCTGCCAATAGCCCTATAGATGGTTGCCAAAAGGTGTTAGGGATCATCCAAGAATAATTGTCTGTTCCTGCTCTTGTGGTACTTACCATGAGTAGGCTAGTAGTCAACAACAGCAACAACAAAATTGCATTTATATAGCGCCTTTCACGTCGGGAGGACGTCCCAAGGCACTGGACAGACAGTTTCAGACCCGAGCTGAGCATTGGGGTGGGGGAGGTGGGAGGACAGGAGGGGAAGCAGGGAGATCGAAAGCACGGTCGAAGAGGAGGGTCTTGAGATAGGTCTTGAAGATGGCAAGGGAGGGGGCGAAACGGAGGGACTGCGGGATGGAGTTCCGGAGGGTGGGGGCAGAGTGGCAGAAGGCCCACCTGCTGATAGTGGGGCGAGCGAGGCGGGGGACGTAAAGCAGGCCAGAGCCTGCTGAGCGGAGGGAGTGAGCAGGATGGTAGGGGCTTAGGGGGTCGGAGAGATAGGGGGGAGCAAGACCATGGAGGGCTTTGAAGGTGAGGACCAAGATCTTGAACTTTATCCTCTGTGTGATGGGAAGCCAGTGGAGTTGGGCAAGGATGGGGGTAATAGGGTCGTGGAGCCTAGTGCAGGAGAGGTCACGTGCTGCAGAGTTCTGGATGATCTGCAGCTTATGTAGGGAGGAGTTGGGGAGGCCGACAAGCAGTGAGTTTGCATCGTCGAGCCTCGATGTAATGAAGGCGTATATGAGGGTTCCTGCGGCCTGTGGTGTGACACAGTAGTGGAGCCGAGCAATGTTGCGGAGATGGGGGAAGGCAGAGCAGGTCATGGCGCAAATTTGGGGTAGAAAGGATAGTTGAGGGTCGAACAAGACCCCAAGGTTCTGGACTGGCTTAGCAAGGTGGAGTGTGCAACCAAAGATGGTGATACTGTCAGCGCCTGAGGTGAGGAGGCGCTGTTGGGAGCCTATCAGGAGAGCCTCGGTCTTGTTGACGTTCTACTGAAGAAAGTTAGCTCTCACCCAGGACTTGACGTCTGACAGACAGTACCACTTTACCATCCCAAAAGGCATGCTTTATATCTGAGAAAATTGTCTATGTATTTTATTTTCCTCAAATTCCTTGTAGATTCCGATACTAAGAAGACTTCTCTCTGAACATCCAACACTAGTTAACATCAAGGATGAAGACCAATATACACCACTTCACAGGGCTGCCTACAGTGGTCACTTGGAGGCTGCTCGTGAGCTGATAAGCCATGAAGCAGATATCACTGCTCGTACTGTAGATGGCTGGACACCTTTACACAGTGCTTGCAACTGGAGCAATACTGAAGTGGCTTCTTTCCTACTACAGCACGGAGCAGACATCAATGCTCAGACCAACGGCATGCAGACATCATTGCATCTTGCTTCAGGAAATAAAGCCACCAAAGCAACCATTGAATTGCTGTTGATGAATCGTTACATCAATCCAAATCTAAGAAATAACTTAGGTGAGACCCCATACGATGTTGCTCGGAGAACCAACCCTTACTATTACCTCTTTGAAATTACAGAAAACTGCACAAATTCTGTACTTGATTCCTGATGCAATGTATTGTACCACCTATATCCAATGTTCTAAGCATTCACATAAAGGAAATTTTCAGTTTGTTTATGAATATTTGAAAAAAAATAACCTGGTTCAGGAATTTAGGATGTATCCTGGAAAAAAATCCTTTTTTTAAAAAAGTGATATGTTTCAAGAAGCATTGGTAACCAGAAGAGCAGCTAATACTGTGTCACAAAGGAACAACCAAATGAATCTACATTGTTCAAGACCTTTAGTCAGGCATTTGGGAAAAATAATTAAAAACAGACATTTCTGATTGTCTGCTGCTTTCGCTAATTTGATGTGGACAGGCTAAGAAAAACACAGCCTATATTTTCTTATATCTATAAGTATTACCTCATTTCCAAGATATCACATCATGCAGGGACAGAGTTATAGTAGCAGTAAAATGGCTGGTGTGGGATGCAGAAAGTATTCACACTGGTTAACTTCTCTAGTTGCAATGGTGAATGACAGTGGAAGGACCTGCATCTAGTTAACATCCTTCTGACCTGTGCCTTTGGTGTTAACACAGGTTTTGAAAGATGGAACAACAACAACAGCAACAACAAGATTCCATTTATAAAGCGCCTTTCACGTCAGGAGGACGTCCCAAGGCGCTGAACATTCTGTTCCACAACACTGAACTCTCAAGGAGCTCACACACAAATGCACAAAAAAGTGATTGTAATGTTTCAAAACTAAAGTGAATAATAATACAGTAATAATTCCTATTTCCCTATCCCAATAGAAAAAGGAATATACGTACTGTATACATACTTTAGGATTATTCATAGCTAATCCCAGCGCCTTGGGACGTCCTCCCGACATGAAAGATGCTATACAAATGTAATCTTGTTGTTGTTGTAGTTGTCTTGGGAAGAATGTGTAGAAAGAACCTTCATTTGTGGTATCTTATCACGTCAAAAATCTTACAATAATTACTGTCAAATTCTGTGACTGTTTTTGTAAGCAAATCTGATAGCATTTTGTCTTTAAATATGTAATGGAGGACCAAATCTGCTGAGAAAATCAAAATAAATCCTAGACCTCACAGACACTTTTTTCAGCCTTGTAATAAACTAATTTAAATTATTTGAACATTTCAAGATTTACTTAGCTTCTCAAGTTAAGGGGAAGTACAAGTGTGTAATGCAATTTAATGTGCAAATATGCATTTATAGGGCCTTGCACATTTCAGTACATTAAGGTAGTACTATTCACTAGCCCGAGTTGGATCTTCCCTTTACAGGGGCAAATTGTTCATAACATGAATGGCAAGTCTGTATGATGTACTGCAATATCATATGTCAGCTCCTATATGTCTAGTGGGTGAAGTTTTCAGGCCCTAACATTTTCAGTTTTCATTAAATACAATCAAAAGCCCTTCCTTAACACCAAAAAAAACCCCACAGAGCATGTGTTTATGTATTCATAAGTCTATTAAGTTTCCACAAAATCTGAATCTATAACTGCCAAATGGTACAAAAATTGAAAGCACGAATAACAACAGTAAGAGTTACTAATATTGTGTAGAAATGTTAAGGTTCATTTAAACAAAGACTTTCTCCATGCAATACCTGAACAGGATTACACTTTTACATACAAAAAATATTAAGTAGTATGTTACATGATGTAACTTTTGAGCTCTTATTTTTTGTCAGCTTCTCCTATTCCATCATTTTTTTGTGTGGAACTTGCATTTGATCTCCTTTTAAAATGTTGTTGAGAGGAACTCTTGATATAGAAAAGATCCCTAATGTGGGCATTTAATTTACATGGTCTATGGGAAACCTAAGCCTTTTTTCTACTAATGATACCAATCATTCTTGATGATAAAGTTAAGCAAAAAAAACTCATGATTTGGTGACCATTTTATTTCATCTTGTGCAGTACTGGTGTTATACAGTCAAGCACAATTGGTGTTGAAATGTACAAACTGCTTGCTCAGTTGCTCTGAAATGACCTTTCACACTGAAATCACACTGAAATGACCTTTTTCTGCAATTTTCGACATAGTTAATGTTGCTTTTCAAAATAGTTGGTGACATGATGGGTCTAAATTAAGCTTTCAGAAGGCAAAAGACTGGCTTGCATTGATGCTGAATGGGTTTTGAGTCCATTAAGATAACTATCAATAATGGATGATTTGCTTGTCTCAGATGCTTGAAAAATAATCCAGAGTATCAAGGCACCTGTAAAAATGGCATTAATATTGCAATATATGTCCAATATTGTACTATTTCCTTGTTCTGCATCATAAGAGAATTATTTAGCTTGAACAAAAGATTAGTTTCCACAATATTTCTTAGTTGCAATTGTTGAAATGTGAATTCCCAGTCAAAATTGAAATGAAATTTGTTCTGTTGTAATTATAATGCCAATTTCACTTCTGCACAAAATTCCACTTCTACTGTTTGAAGCACTCCATTTTTCAGCTTACAAGATGGCTACAATCTATTTTTTAAAAAAAGATTGAAGCTTTGTTTCATCCAATGTAGGTAATGGGCATTGAATGAAAAGCAAATGCTCATTGTGCTAATTACAGGCTAATATTCTACATGAGCTAAAGGACAACAATGGAGGGAGTTGTTTGGGTTGTTTCTCATGTATGTAAATGTGTATTGTTTATTTTCAATGTCATCTTATTTGCAACAAATAGTGATTACATTGTAAAACTGCCTTTATTTAACAGAAAGGAGTGGAATAAATACTTCACCTGTGGAATTATGTGCAGTTTTGGGACGCTATATAAATGCGAATTGTTGTATTGATACAGTACGTTTCTCTATTCATTAGGGACGACCTCCCGAAGTGAAAGCACTATACAAATGTAATTTTGTTCTTGTTGTTGATTTAGTACATTACTCTATTTAGTCAGGTAGGTGTTTGACACATGCGGAAACCTTTCACCATGCTTCATCCAATCCAATGCAAACAGGGTAACATGCATCTTACCTACACATGAAAATTCCAGAGATATATATTAGAATAGAATGCGCGTTCCCTCCTGGGAGGGATGCATCCTTCTTACCTAATTCCACAAAGGCACAGGTTGGCAAGAGCCAAGGTTTGTGGGTTGGGGTCCTGCTGGAGTCTAACCAGTTAAAACAACAAGATTACATTTGTATAGTGCCTTTCACGTCGGGAGGACGTCCCAAGGCACTGGACAGTGTACAGCATTTCAGACCTGAGCTGGGGTCAGGGTGGGAGAAAGGAGGGGAGGGGAAGGGGGGTGGCTGATGGCATGGTCGAAGAGGAGGGTTTTGAGGTGGGACTTGAAGGAGGCTAAGGAGGGGGCGAGACGGAGTGATTAGGGGATGGAATTCCAGAGGTTGGGGGCAAAGTAGCTGAAGACTCTCCCACCAATGGTGGCGGGGGTGGGTCGAGGGACGTGGAGCAGGTCGGAGCCGGCTGAGCGGAGGGAGCGATTCTGGGTTGGTAGGGGGCTAGGTCGCAGAGATACAGTGGGGTGAGGCCATGGAGGGCTTTGTAAGTGAGGACCAGGATCTTGAACTGGATCCTCTGAAGGATAGGGAGCCAGTGGAGTTGGGGGAGATAGTGGCACAGAGTTTGGTGCGGGAGAGGACATGGGCTGCAGAGTTCTGGATTATCTGCAGCCTCTGGAGGGAGGAGTTGGGAAGGCCGACAAGCAGGGCATTTGCATAGTCGAGCCTGGAGGTGATGAAGGCATGAACAAGAGTTTCAACAGCCTGAGGGGTGAGGTAGTGGCGGAGTCGGGCAATGTTACGGAGGTGAGGGAAGGCAGAGCGGGTCATGGCTTGGATTAAAACCATATCAGTTGTTATTGATAGCACTGTCTGGCAAGCGTTCCACTGCTTGTCCAGCTCAGACCACCCTACCCGTTAGGGCTTTGGCTTGAAGGGTTAACAGGAACTGAGTGCAAGGAATCCCTGCCCCCAGTGACTGGTCTGCCCTTCCAAGTCCTGCCAATGAGCCAGGCTGGCCGTGCTGTCATCAGAGGTGTCCTGGAATAGCGTGGACCTGCCTGGCTCTGGGACCGGACTCCAAGACCGTCACTGAGGCTCGATTCCGATTTCCATTGCCAAGCGAGTTCAGCTCCGACCGAGGAGGCCCCACTTCCCCGAGGATAAATATACAAAATATACAGTCAATTCACTTTACAGTAGCTTTTGTGAGGGGCTTTGAGACGTCTCAAAGACGTGATAAGGCGCTATATCAAATGCAAGGATCGTTATTATTATAGTCACTAGTTGGTCGTTCGGTATCTGCCCAGAGGGGTGTTGAGCCCTCGCTCGGCGGGTGGTAGGTGCAAGAAACTCCCGGCGAGCGGCAACGTAGTGAGCGTAGTGAGCGGCATGAAGTGCGGGAGAAGCACTGGCCACCGTCTTCCCGTCCACCGCTCGGGCGTGAGTCCCTTCCCACCGAGAGCCATGGTCCCACCAACTGGCCGTGCGGGATTGGAGGAGGAGCAGCAGTGCCGACCTCCCCGCGGGCGGCCCGACTCACTCCCTGCGGCGTGCGCAACACTGGCCGCCACGTGACCGAGGCGAGAACGCTCGCCGGCTTCAAGATGGCGCCCTCGGGGTCGGGGTGGGAAGGAGTGAGAGCGAGAGAGAGCGTCCCGGTTGCCATGGCGACGGCGGCGGCCGGTTGTTGCCGTGGCAACAGGATGGGGCCCGAGGCGGCGTGGAAGGGAAGAGGAACATGGCTTGTGGGGCCAAGGAGGACGCGGGCGCTGTTTGCTTCCAGGGCGGAGACGGCATGGACAGGGCGGGCGGGTCCAGTGAGTATCAGCTGGTCAGCCATGGCTTGTGATTGCTGTGTGTGTGTGTGTGTGTGGTAGGTGCCCCTACCTACCTGCCCGTACCCTCCGTTCCTCTGGCTCCGGTCTGCTCCACGTCCCCCGCCCCAACCGCCCTACTATCGGTGGTCGGGCCTTCAGCCTCTCAGCCCCGAGGCTCTGGAACTCTATCCCCCAGTGCCTTCGCCGCCTCCTCCCTTTCCTCCTTCAAGGCCGGTCTCAAAACCTTTCTCTTTGACCGTGCCTTCAGCTCCCCTCTCGACTCTCTTCCTCCTCCTCGCTCCCTCCCTTCCCTCCCCTCACCCTGACCATTTCCCCCCTCCTCTCTCCCTCCCTTCCCTCCCCTCACCCTGACCATTTCCCCCCTCCTCGCTCCCTCCCCTCCCCTCACCCTGACCATCTCCCCCCTCCTCGCTCCCTCCCCTCACCCTGACCATTTCCCCCCTGCTCGGGTCATGACCCAACTGTGCAGCGCCTTGGGACGTCCTCCTGACGTGAAAGGCGCTCTATAAATGGAATCTTGTTGTTGTTGTTGTTATCCCGGAGGCCGGTGGTTCGGGCCCCACTCGGGAGGGAGGCGCAGCTCACCATTTAAATTCAATCATTTAAATAATCGAAATACCTCATTTGAATCGTAAAAATCTCCCCACCCACTCACTCCACTCACTCACCCGAAAAGTTTTTTTTTGGGGGGAGAGCCACTGTGCACAAAAAAACTGCCCCGACGAATTTATTACAGGCACATAATATTGCAAAACCTTCCGTGGGTGGATGGGGGAGGAAGTAAAACTGAAAGAA